GGACAGGCAGCGGCCCACAGCCACGCAGACAGCTTAATTGTGGGCACAGTCCCTGGCGTAATTTCTGATTGTGCCAACTACCATTCACCGGGCAGTGCACCGGTGTGGTCCAAGGGATGGCATCACTCAGGAACTGTTACCCTTGGGCACGTTGCATGAGCCCACCTTATTCGTCTGGGGGGAGAAAGTTTGGCTGTACGGACACAGGCTATGCCACCGACTCTTTGAGAAAAGTAAAAATTGCTTTCTGGAGATGCTGAGCTCACTCTGCTGCCTCCAATGAAGTTTCAAGTAGATGCTTAGTTTTCAGACGGCTGAGCGTTGAGTCAGGTGAACCCCAGCTGCATCAGAGCCAGGAGGGGTTTCCACTGACTGACTTGGCAGCTCATTCCCAGGCCCACGGGCAGGTCTGGTAGGGGAGGTGCCCGGGTGCTCCCCGTGCCGAGCAGGCAGGGGCGCTCATAGCTGCAATTCCCCCTCCAGGTTCCACCCTCCCTCGGTGGTCGGTACCATGGGCAGTGCTGCGGCCACCGCGAAGCTGCTCTCTCTCAGCCCGGCCCAGTGCGCCCACGCTTTGGGCATCGCCGCGTCGCTCGCAGGGGCACCCATGGCGAACGCTGCCACCCAAGCCAAGCCACTGCATATCGGAAATGCCACCCGCCTGGGCTTCGAAGCGGCACTGCTGGCCGCCCGAGGGATGGAGGCGAACCCCTTAATTCTGGATGAGATCCCCGGTTGCTCTGGATTCAGCGTTTTCTACAGCGTCTATCAACCCAAACCACTGTCCGCACCAAGCGAGCATCACGAGTTCCTCTTGGAGAAGCAGGATATTGCTTTCAAGCGTTTTCCAGCCCACCTGGGGATGCACTGGGTGGTGGATGCTGCCTTGTCTGTCCGGAACCTCTTCATCAACTACGCAGGTTCTTTCTCTCCCTCTTTGATCCGCACCATCGTGCTGAAGATCCCAGTGTCGAAGTACATCAATCGGCCCTTCCCCAGCTCTGAACACCAGGCTAGACACTCCTTCCAATTCAATGCCTGTACGGCTCTGCTGGATGGTGAGGTGGGCCTCAGCTCCTTCACAGAGGGCAGCATCCACCGGCAGGAGCTGAGGGAGCTGCTGGACAAAGTGGTGGTGGAACACCCTGAAGATAACGTGGCCAACTTTGACAAGATGTATGGCGAGGTGGCGCTGCTCCTGCACAGCGGGGATGTCCTGACAGGCAAATGTGACACTTTCTATGGGCACTGGAGGAAACCTCTGAGCAAAGAATCGCTCCTGAAGAAGTTTCGATCCAACGCCTCTCATGTGCTTCCAGAAGAAAAAATAGAAACCATCATCACTATGGTGGACAACCTGGAGGATCTGTCAGATAGTTCCCAGCTGGCCTGCAGCCTGTGAGGGAACAGCAAGTGGGGTTTTGGTAAGGGACTGGTCTCGGTGCAACTCTCATTCCTTTCTTCATTGGTGCTTTACTATTGAATTTCCAATGGCAGGAAAGTTCCCAGCCCTTGAAGTCAAAGTAGACGCTTTAATACCAAAGGTGCCCATGAGGCAGGAGGTGAGTCTGTGTCAGTAATTAGTACACAGGTTAAATTTCAACTCATGGTTGATGCTGTCTGAATAGCTGAAAGGCCACCACAAATACAAAAAAAATCCCGTGGAAACCTATGAGAATCCTGGGGCATCATCTGGGAGCCGGTTCCCCAGAAGGAACTGTGTCTAGATATTTTTTAACGCTGTATTCAATTTTTTTTTTTTTTTTTTTTTCTGTGCAGAATGCCTAACTGCTGAGTCTGAGAAGAAGATGAGATTCAGCTGTAAAATGTGTGCTTTCCTTTGTGCTCTTCTGGGCAATTTTCAGATCGTGGTTAGTCATGCTGGCCAGATGAAAAACCTATCAGTTACTGTAAACAGCCCCGCCTGCAAAACTCTCAGGCAGAGAAGGATTTTTTTTTTTTTTTTTTTTTTTTTTCTTTTCCAGCAAAAGCCTCCCCTTTCCCCCAGCACTTGGGAAGTGCTTGTCGCTTCTCCGTGTCCAAGGGATGGTTCAAGGACTCTTTAAACCCGTATGTCCTCTGAATGAAAGGCGACTGGCAGGCGAGGAACCCTACATCAGTCCCACACCTGGGTGCTACGCCTCCGGGGAGGTGGTGGCTGCCAGTCCTGGGGCTGGGCCACGTCAGCCCAGGCGCCGGTTGGGAGCTGGCTCCCCGGAGGTGTCTCTAGAGTCTCTGCAGAGGGGGGCACCTCTGGATGGTGACTTGGGCTCACGCACGCCGTGACTCACATTGGGAAATTCCTGTTTCTCTCCCCTGGGAGGCGGGAAAACTTGCTGAGGCTCGGTTCTTCACTCTTCTTTCCAGCTGGGGTGAAATCGGTACTTGTGCTCCTGAGTAGCTGTTCACTGAAAAGCGTTCTTACCCCGCGTTTCTGAACACTGAGACGGAGAACTACGCAATACTCCTCTGTACATTAAACCAATACTGTGATTGATGATCCAAATGTTTCCAAGATGATCACGCTGTAGGTACAGAATCTGTTGTGGAAGTGAGGGTTGCCCTCTGCAAGGGGGACCCAGATGGGACTAGACAGGCAAGAAGGAATGTGGGCTGGTTCCTTTTCAGCTTGCTGGTAGTGGTCTATGCAGAAAACTTCCCAGGCAGAGCAAAACTGTTTGCCCACTTTGTTAATCCACCCTCTCATACTGTCCGACATATTAATCTGTCTGAATAAAGAACTGAAGTAAATTCATTTTCTGCATAAGGATTTAATGCTATATTAAGTAGACCATCATGTTTTCAGTTTTAATCTGAACATATGCAATACAGAGGCTTGTCCAATGGATGGGGAACACAGAAGAGACTAGGACAAGGCGGCTAATAGGCTTGCCTCTGGCCAGTGATTCCTCCAAAGTCATATATTTACATTGAGCCTTACAGGCTGTTTTTCCAGGTGAGAACAATAGCTATTAACCAGCAAGGCCTGGCTGTGGTTAAATGCAACCTCTCAACAAAGAGAAGTTACCCAGTATTTCTCCATTAAGGAACAGATTTCAAATACTTGCTAAATTTCCATGACAAGCTTCTAGTTTCCCGCGGTTCGAGTCAGGTGTGAGTCCACCAAAAAACGTTATTCCATGTTTCACAGCCCAATGAACTGGAAACCCACAGAGCCAATGCCTTCCAAGTCAGCCATTAGCTCAACATTTGTCAAGGGAATCAATGTGTGTGACAGAGCCGAGCTGGGTTTCAGTGGAGGGAACTGTGCATCTCAGTGGATTATCAGTGTCCTAACATTTGCTCCAACGCTCTCATCTCCATGCCTTCTGCCCCACTCTGCAGTGATGCCGTGTAGCAGTGAAGCTAGACAGGAGGGAACTAGCACCTTTTACCTGTTGGTTCTGCAGCAGAAAAAAAGAGCTTTTCCATTAGGTTTCAGGCTACATTTTTTCCCTGAGGTCCAGAAAACCTTCTAAACCTCGTTCATGTCTTGGCTGTCCCATCAGATGCAACCCTGATACCTTTCAGCAGATGATGTGTAAAATTAAGAAGGGAAGGCACAGGAAGGCTGGTAGGGTCTGATTTTCCATCCATTGGGCCCCTTATCAGTTGAAGCAGCAAGTGGCTCTTCCAGAGTATCTAGGAGCTAAAAGAATACCTGAGCTTTTTTTTCTTTCATGGTATTACCTCTAAGAGGCTAGGAACCTGAAAATGCCTCCAGTATCCCAGCCCAGGAAAGTGTCTCGCTCATTATTTCCAGTTTCAAACAGCAAATGCTTCATATCCTTAACTAATTAGGAGGCCCAAACCCCTGGCAAGGGAAGCAAGTCCTTAAAAGAGCCAAGGAAAAAAACGGCCTGTGAAAAATATAGAGCAGCTTGTGTGACACTGAGAGTATTCAGCGATTAATATGGTGCCACCATAGTCCTTAACTTCTCTCAGGCTGAATAAAAAAAAGAGCCGTTGTCCTTCTTTCTACTGGTGTTCCAAGCTAAATGCCACTTAAAATTAAGAAAAGGAACCATTTCCCCACAAACATGTTCACAGTAGCAAGCTCAGTGACTGAAAGGGCACTTGCAGTGCAGAGGAGGGCAGGATCCGTGTTAGTGATCAATCCGTAACTACAATCCCAGAAATTAATTGGGCTCCTAGGCAATTAAGAGGGGCTGGGCGGGCCCTCAGCACCCTGGAGAGCAGCCGCGGGGCTCCGCAACCACGGGGGCTCCGCTCGGGGGGTCCCTCCTGGGGTCCCTCCCTATGGGATCCCTCCCTGGGCTCCCAGCCTGGGGTCCTTTCCTGGGGTCCCTCTTGGGGTCCCTCCCTGGGGGTCCCTTCTAGGGGTCCCTCCTGGCGTCCTTCCTGGGGTCCCTCCTTGGGTCTCGCCCTGGGGGTCCCACCCTGGGGGTCCCTCCTGGGGTGCCTCCCTGGGGGTTCCTTCTTGGGGCCCATCCTGGGGTCCCTCCTGGGGTCCCACCCTGGTTTCCACCCTGGGGTCCTTTCCTGGGGTCCTACCCTGGGGGTCCTTTCTTGGGGTCCCTCCTGGGGTCCCACCCTGGTTCCTACCCTGGGGTCCTTCCCTGGGGGTCCCACCCTGGGGATCCCTTCTGGGGTCCTGCCCTGGGGTCCTTCCCTGGGGGTCCCTTCTTGGGGTCCCTCCCTGGGGTCCTTCCCTGGGGTCCCTCCTGGGGTCCCCCCCTGGGGTCCTTCTCTGATGTCCCTCCCTGGGGGTCCCTCCTGAGGTCCTTCCTGGCATCCCTCCCTGGGGATCCCCTCCTGGGGCTGTGCTCATGAGGTGAAGGTTAGGAGATGTCTGTGGCTTTTGGCCACAGCAGCTCTTTAGTTCCCACACCTCGTGCTGGAAGCAGCTTTTGTCCCTACGGCCACCACCAGCACAAGGTTTTGATAATCTGAATTTTTTTAGGGCTTTGCATTTTTTTCGCACCATGGAGAGTTTTGGATTTCCCACAAAACCCCAGCAGAAAAAAAAAATAGTAGAATTCAGGGATTATTTCAATTTTAGGGATGAATTTGACTGTAGAGGTCAGAAGAGTCCTCTCTGCCTTCCAGTGCCGTTTCTGTGATGATAACATTGCTACCGCAGTGTGGCCAGCTGGGGAACTGCTCTCCTTGAAAAACCCCGAGTCCTTCTTTATTGTTTTATGCTTTTTAAATGATTGAGGAATTGCTTTTTAAATAATTCAAGAAAGCAGAAAGCAGGGGACAGTCCCAGAAGTAACGGAGGGCCGCCGGAGTCCAAGCAGACTGTGCTGCGGTGGAGCCCTGCCCCAGCTCTGCTGACAAACCTTCCTCAGGGGGATGAGTCCTGCATCCCTCCGCACCATCCTGGAGCAGCTCTGGATGCCTCTTCTGGGTAGAGGAAGGCGAGAGTGTTGGCCTTAGTCTCCCTGGTCCAGAGGATCTTCCAAGCTCTGGACATGTTGCCAAGGTGGGGGGGTGTGTGTGTGTCAAGTTTTGTAAGGAGGCTGCTGGGCCAAAAATGAATGACTGAGAGAGAGAGTCCACAGGAAAGTGTCATGCTTGGGGATGGAAAGGAGGAGCAAACCCCTCCAGGTGCAGCACAAGGCTGCATCCTTCCCTTGGCAGCGGGATCTGCAGGCCAGACACAGGCAGCTGGTGCAGGGGCCGGAGCAAAGTCCTGTTGTTGCCTTACTGGGAAAACAGGGCAAGCAGACTGGGCTGCAAGGGGTGCCAATGTGTTCTGCCTGATGCCAGTGTCTTCTCAGCACCTTATTTCCCCCTCCTCCCTGCATAAATCTGGGTGACCTCACTGACTTTAGACCCTCTCCCCTCCACGCAGCCATCTCATCTCTGCATTTTCCCATCCCAGGTGACAGGAACCCTGTAACTATTTATGCAGAGTTGAGTAGGAGGCACGGAGCTTCAGCCTCAGGAGCACGTTGCGTGTCAGACACCGAGGCCGAGTTCCCAGTTGCCAGGCAGGGAGTGGGTTGCAGCAGTCACCACCAGCTTGATGTGAGATCTACCAGTGCCAGCCAGCCTGAGTCAAGCCAAGCAGGCGGATGGAGAGGAAGGGAGATGGAAATCTTCAGCTGTGTAAAAGTGCCTGTGATGAGGTTCTTTTGTGTTCATGGTGGACAGTGTAGAAATGAGGGGTTTCAACTGCAGTAAAAGGAGTGTCAGACATTAGGAAAAATGTCCCAACAAGATCAGTGCAGCAGCAGCAGGACAGATCTTCCAAGAGGGTCGTCAAGTCTCCGTTGATGGTGATTTATAAAAGTAGGATTCACACCCAGGGGTGAGAGCTGAGCAGGCTGCCTTGGGAAATCTCTCGAGGTTCATGCAGCCCTACTTTTATGGCTGGGATTTGAGGCTTTGTCCTAGGTTTGCAAAAATCAAAGCTTGAACCTGTAAAGCAGCCACCGAAAGCCTGGCCTCTGCATTCTGTCTGCTGCCGGGACACAGGCAGGGTACGGGTGGTGGTTAGGGTTGCCCTCCGCTGACTGCAGTAGCCTCTGTGCGGTACCTGGCAACCTCGACCAGGTTCTCATCAGGATCTCGGAAGTAGATGGATGTTACTGGACCCACAGCACCAGTTCTGGCCACGGGACCTTCTTCAATCATCACCCCACAGGCCTGGGAGGAGACATAAGAGCAGGGGTTTCATGTTTAAGGTATTCTTATCAGGGCGATGTGCACTCTTCCCCCCAGCCTTGACAACGTGAGGTGTTGGATGAGGCAATCCTGACATTCCCCAAAACACAGACCCTGAAAGTGTCACTTGGGAGGCGCTGGCTTGATGGCTCTGGGGGTCACAGTGCCCTGTGGACACTCTATGCCTTCCTCACCTTCACATGATCCAGCAGCTGGTCCAGGGGCACTTGTGTGATAAGGCAGATATCTGCAGAGCCGGGGACCGGGCACCGAGCCTTGGGTTCAAACTCCTTTCCAACCTCATGCAAGTTAAACTTCTGGTTGCCAAAATGTAAAGCTTTGCGATTTCCCTGTCCCCAAAGAAAAGAATCAGAGTGCAATGAGAATTACTGGGCTGGAACCCTTCAGCATCCGCTCACCTGTGTAGTCCTAAAAATCTTGGGGACCTGGCTACAGTCCTGCTAACTCTGGGCTCTTGCTGTGACAACCCAAGATGAGAACTGACCACTGCAAGGCTCCCATGAAAGTCTTCGAGATGTGGAGTGACCCAAGAAGGTCATACAGCCACATCCAGCTACTTCCAAACCATAAGGATGTAAGGTTTGGGGTTTGGGCACTCTCCATTCTGCCTGTGAAGCAGGCACAGAAACAATGCACAGGCTGACACTGTTGTGGGAACAAAGATGAGGCGTGAGGAAGGACGTTTTGGCATCTCTTTCCTTTGCAGTCTCTCAAGGAGATTTCTGCAGGCTCATATGGCAGCTGAGTCCTGAGATCCCCCATGGATATGCAGGACAGTGACCTGCTGCCCGTGACCAGCTAAAGAACAAAATACGGCTCCCTGTAGCCTTGGGACATGAGACCTGGTGGGTCAGGAGAGAAGGCCATAAGTTTGGAGGTTAAAAGGGTGCAGTGTGTACACCCAGTGGCCTGAAGGTTGGGCAGAAGATGAGTTGGGGCTGTTCTGAAAATGTTAACCATCTTCTCCTCTCTTTGCCAATGGAAATATCAAAACAAGAGCCTGTCAGACATCTTTGGAGGATGGGTGGGTTTGAGGGTTCTCCTCCTTCGATCCTAGAAATTGCTTTTCAAAGAACATTTCCTTCTTTGTCACTTTGCCTCCTTCTGCAGCATGGTTTGGTCTTTCCTCTGACACAGCTTGACTCTGTTGAAACCCAGAGCTTGATGGCCTGCAGCTTGTGCTGGTCCTACCATCCCTACCCCAACGAGGTGCCCCAGAGACCCTACTGGAGATCCACAAGGACCAGCCGCTGGCTCAGAAGTGCAGCTCCAAGTCTGCTAGACCCAAGCCGAGCCTGTGGCCCATGTTACCTTGAAAGTCACCACCTCCATGCCCAAGACTTTGGAATAAAAGGCCACAGTGTCCTCAATGCTCTTCACAGTCAACACAAGGTGGTCCAGACGCTGGATGAAGCATGAGGTTGGACTCATACACTCCTCCTTCCAGGACATTATCTCAGGGCTGGGAACCAGAATGCAAAACCACAGAACATGAAGGTTAGGAGCATCCAGCTACTCAGGGGTGTCGGTAGCCATGAACGAAACTGCAAATGGAGATCAAACCGATTTCATTTGGCCTGCAGGTGGCACAAGTACAGAAGCAATAAATCCTCCTCCCTGGAAGGGCCCCAGACCCCCACTTTGCTCTGGTGGGACTTGAGCATGCCAGAGCCCCTGGCTGGGGCCAGATCTGGAGGACCAACTGGGTGACCTCGCTGAGGGCTGATGTCACCAAGATGCTGAGCTCCCAATGCACAAAAGCCCACGTGTCCCAAGGATAGACCGTGTGTGTGATGCTTCCCTCCAACCCTCTCTGGTGTCCTCCCAACCTCCTTCACGTCCAGATAGAGCAAAGACAGGGAGTGAAGACAAGCTGGGCCCTGGCAGTGCAGTAGGAAATGTCTCTGGGGCAAGAATATTCCTTGGAGAAGAGAGGCACTGGGTCTGAAAGGAAAGGGGCTGTGCCATTATCTTATAGGAAGGGGACAAGAATCCCTTCTGGTGCCTATATAACGTAGATGTAAACCGTGGACCATAAGATAGGGTCTGTGGCCCTGACCAGCACCAAGAGGATGGGAACTTGCCACCAACGTGACAGCCCAAGGGGTGAACAGCTGAGGGCTCTGGGACACGGTGGCTTAGCAGGGGAGAATCAGTTTTAGGAAAATTAAGAGTGCTGTAAATATTTCGGTGCTGTAAATATTTCAGTATCCCTGATGATCCTGCTCTGATGACCCTCTGATGATCCCCGAACCCCTGATCATCAGCACACATTTAAAGCAGGCTCAGGCTGCTTAACTCAGTGGCAGCAAATCTTCCTGCTGCTCCCCGGAGCCTGGGAGCACCTTTTCACCAGGCTGTGAAAAGGAAATGGATTTGGCCCTGATGGCCTGAATGATATTTCTGGGAGGCTGCGACGTTTTCATTTCTGGGTTTGGTTGATTGTACTTTCCGAAAACCTGGCTGTGGAAACTAGGAGGGCTGACAAGCCCCTCAAATGACAAATAGAGTCAAGTTTCCTTCAAATCAGTAACAGCATTTTACTTAGATACATTTACTTCTTGCTCTTAAAAAGCCTCAAACCCTGATACAAATATCAATTCACTCTTCTGAGACCCTCAGCAGTTTCTCCACTGAGACCCTCAGCAGTTTCTCCATTGACACCCCTGTGCAAGGGAAGCTTGAATTCTGCTGCCTCTTGGATAAAAATAAAAAAAAAAAAAAGAAAACAAACAAAACAGGTGGAAAATAAACCCTCGCAACACTAACGCAGCGCAAAGTGGCACAAATCAGGAAAACAGCCCACACCACCAGCCACCTTTTTGCCTTAACATTTGCCTTCAAAGTGCTGGATGTCATCAGCGGGCAGGGGGGGAGGCTGATGCCAGAGGTTCAAGGAGGTGCAGCGTGAGGGTCTGGGGGACTCAGCAGTCCGGGTTTACAGTGGTTCTCGGTGTTTTCCCTTAGGCTGGGCTCACGTCCTCTGGCATTGCTCTCCTGCGGCAGAGTGCGTGGGAAATGGCTCTCAAGGAGAGGTCTCGAAGCCGCGCTGACACGGGAGCAAGGTCAGCATAAAAGCAGGCAGGGTTTCACCGGGGCATCTGCTCCCTGCAGCCCGAGGAATTCGCTTGGGGCAGCACCCGAGACTGCACCAGTTACGGAGGGAAGCTGTTAACAGAGGCGATGGAAAGCCACAGCTCCTTTTTGCTGCAGATGGCGTTTGGTGTTTAACAACCTCAGCTCCGAGCAGCCCGGTCCCAGACCCTCTACAAAGCCCTTTCCTCCAAGTTGCAGGTCACGTCGCAGCCTGCAGCTCCCACCTCCTGCCCAGCAAACCTTGCCGATACAACCCTCCCCTCCCACCCGAGCCCCTCAGCAAACAACTGCGAGGAAATCGGGCTGCAAAAATAGGTTGAATACCTGCAAGAGAGGATGAATAGCTGGGCAAGGTGGTGCCGGGTGGTTCCCTTATGACCGTCCTCTTGCTGCTGCCCGGAGCTGAGCTGTGTGAGCAGCAACGTCACAACAGAACAGGGGGGGAAAAAACCCGATGAGATTAGAAACAGGAGCTCTGAGCACTGCTCCTCGCAGAGGCGTACCTTGACCCAAAGGACCTCAAAGTCCAATGACATAGAGCTGCTTGAAAAAACCCAGAAAAGGAGTCTGGCTGTTTTAGCCACATAGCTTTCCCCTGGCCATGGAAAGATGTGTCAATGTGCTGTATTCAAGCGCACAGTTGAGCTCAGTGCTCAGGCTGGGGTGACTTACTGTTGAGAAGAAGCAAAGATATCCCTGGAGAAGAGGAGCTGTGGCAAGCAGCTGCAGCAGGCTCCCCACCTCCCTGGCAGCAGGCAACGTGCCTGTTCACCTCCTTCCCACCAAGATTATTTTCTACTGTGCTACATGCTGAGGCCTTATTGCCCTGCTAGGCACTTGCTGTCCCTGGGAGCACTGCAAGCTCCTACTAATAAAAGCTTTGTGAGCTGTAGGTGCCATGCTAACAGTCAATATGTAGCAAAGAGCAATAGAAATGTGATGTGCACAGCTTTGGGCATCTTTTTGGACACCTCTTCCTGCAAACAGACATGTCCAAATGGGTTCTCTGTGGCCTGAGGCGGACTTAGAGATTTTCTTTTTCTTCCTCTACAAAACCTAAGCCTGTCAAAAATAAAATGGAGTTTTGAAAGGTCTGAAGCTCTCTGGGCAGTTGGCTCCAGAGGAGTGAGTGGTTCAAGCTGCCGGGCAAGTGGTTCAAGGCACAGGACATTCTGTGTTAAAACTGTTCTGCCTAGACCTTCTGACCCAAGCTGCCCACGCTTCACTGTGTGCAGCAACGTGCCAAATAACCCCCAAATTTCTGATACGTGGAAATAGATGAAAATGATTTTTTGCCTCTGGTCAAGGGAAAGGACATCTGTGGGTCGCTGTGGGAAGGAGCAACCAAAGCGCCTCTATCCTTTTTGTACAACCTTTTTTGGATTTTTCTCCCCTAATTGTCCAAGCTGGCCCACAGAATTTCCCCCAAAGCTACTTCATGGGTTATTGCCTACTGTCAGCTGGCAACGGTGAGGCTGAGTAGGTGAGACAAGCTAATCCTGGGTCATGCGACACTGCCTTTGTGTCTTCCTTGTCCTGGAGGTCCCTGTGGGTTTACTCACACCGGAGAAGGCAGAGCTGAGGTGGAAACCCCACAGCTGGAGCTCAGGGAAAGGCTGTTCCTGCCCAGCATGGTGGTGTCCCTAAGAACCCTCCAGCGGAGGGACTGCCACCGGTCTCAACATCAAAGAACAGAAAAGAAGAGGATGTCAGTGCTCTGAATGGGGAAAGAGGCTCATAAATCTGCCCTGAGGGCAATTACGGGAAACAGACCACATTTATTTTTGAAACACGGGTGGCAGCCCACTGCTGTGGGCTCTCGGTAGCCTTGGGCCAGCTGGCCCGGAGCAGGGCAAGCAGGACAGAGAGCTGCTCGGCTCGCGCTGCAGCCTTGCTTGAAGGAGGCTGCCGACACCTCCTGCCCCTGGCAGCCCCCCCATTTTCACAAGACACGCTGGAGCTGACTCTCTTGGCGATTTTTGCTGTCCCAACCTCTCCAGATCAAGAGGTTCACCAGCTACACAGTGAGGCCGGCAAGCAGGAGGTCAAACGGTCAAGCAGTAAGTAGACCTCCCAAACCTCATTTTTCTCGGGAAAAATCCTAACGTCTTCTTTACTAAAGCTCCCAAAGTTGTTCCCACAGGTGCTAGTAACAGGACCACTAACACCTGAGAGGGCTTTGAGGGCACTAATTGGCCTTAATAGCCCTGATCAGCCTCACCTGAGGGCTTCCACCCACATCCATGGGCCCTGGATCCTATTTAAGCTCTTCTCAGGGTCTTTACTCTGTGCCTGAGTTTTGATGTAGGTTGCTGGTTTTCAGCTTATCCTTAGGTGTGCCTCTACCTGGCCAATGACCCTACTGGTCTGGACTTCAGCTTGTAGACTGATTTCCTGGTGTCATCGCTATGGACCTGATTGTTATTTTGTACCAGAGTGGAGTTCAGGATCTTCAGCTTTTAGGGAAGGCTATAACGGACAGCATATTAGCCCCATGATTATCATCACAAGATGCAGAGGCCATATTTTTAACAACAAAAATATATTGGTGAGTTGTGATGTTGCTATAAGGTATTTCATAAGAAAATGGGCTAAGAGCGGTCAGCTCTCTGAAAGACCGGTTTGGCTCTCTAGGACTGTAGCATTTACTGCCCTCCAGTTTACATGCAAGCAAATTTTTTCTTAGCTAAAAGCAATGAAGCTTTTTATATTAATAACTCTGAACTTTCATTGGTGTTTACTGACACAATGAGCAATGGTGCATGTTCTGCTATGTGGATATAGTAGCGCTACATGCATCTGGGTGTCTCTGTGTTGTAACCCTCTTGTTTTGGCACAGGTTCACTGTGAAATCTGAGAATAGATGAAAAGGAGAGAGTTCCTGAACTGCAAAAGGAATCTTCTCTCCAGGAAGTGGTCTGCTGAAAAGGTACAGCACTGGTACTCGCTGCGGCAGAAATTTGAGGTTTGGGAAGGGTTTTTTAGTAGCTCTATAGTGGTTTCTTGGAGCAGGGAAGTGCTTTGGGTCTGAGAACTCAACTTCCCCAAGGGAGATCTAGCCTAAGACTGACAAGTCAGAGGCACTTTGGCACTAAATTCAGGCTGGGAACCCCATATACCAAACTTCAGCTTGAGAAGGATTTTGAGTTTAGCTGCTTAAAAGTGTAGCTGCAGACAAGGGTTCCTGAGCTGCTCCCAGCAGACATCCAGAGGGGGCTGCCTCTACGTGTTGGACAGAGTGATGGAGTTGAAATAGCTCAGCAAGTCCTCCATGGTGAAGTCCATAGCAATCCCTGAGCCCGCATAACAGCGTTGGATCAGATCCTCAAACTCTTGGTACTGACGTAGGAACTCCTGCTCCATAGCGTGCCACACCACCTAGGGAAAAACAGACTATCATCCCGTGACAGCTATACATGCTTTGCAGTCCTGAACCCCCCAAACATCATAGCATTATATCCAGATTGCACCCCAATTACCGGCAAAAGATTTTCTTCTGGGGAGAGATACTTGTGGATTTTCCTGTAGAGGGTCTCAAGGGCTCTTTTTACTTCCTTGCCAGGGTATTTGTCAATGACCTTCCTCAGCTCCTGCTTGCTGTAGGCCAGCTGAAAGCTGACCTCTTCTTCTTTTACCCCTTGAGCCACGCGGGCTTTCACCCCTTCAAAGAAGTGCTGGAAAGGCAAGGAGACATTCACTGATGAGCTGCCCTAAGGTGGACTCCTGCATCAGGGCTGAAACCTGACCACTTCCCTCAGTTCCCTTCCCCTGTCTAATTAAGTGGAAATGAAGGATTGAGGATTGTTTATCCTCAAGGAAAGCGGGGCACCGGGAATTTCATTAGTTCTCTTCCCTCCCTGCTTAGCAAGCAGCATCTCTAAGGGTTGCAGTACCATGGAGCAATGGGACTGATGGAAAAATCCCTCGTGTTCCTTAGTGCTTCATACAGCTTTGCTCGTTGCAGAGGGTTTGAAGCCAGAGGTGGGGTTGGAGGACCCCAGAATCTGCAGAAGCGTAAAGCAAAACTCGAGTTTTCTCAGTTCATCCAGGATATTGTATGAAGGGAGGAAAGGCAGTTCTGTAGGGAGGAGTTTCAAAAGGAGCACCTGTCCCTCCCCAAACGTGGCTGTTGCTTGAGGGCCCAGGGCTCTCAAGCCCCAAGGCACACAGACCTCAGCTAGCTTTCAGAAAAATACCAGGAGCCATGTAGCTCCAGAAAAGCTCTATGCCAACAAGTATTTTTTCCTGCATGAACTTTTAGACACAGAATCTGTCAGACTGGAGGGAACCTCAGAATGCCTCTAGTTCAACCTCCTGCTCAAAGCAGGTTCAACACAGAATTTAAACAAGGGTACCTGGGGCATTTCTCAAGGTAGGTCTTGAAAGCGTTCGAGGATAGAGACTGTGGAACCTCTCTGGACAGACTGTTTCAATGTTTTATTATCCTTATAGCCATTCTTTCCTTCGAACCAGCTGGAACTTTTTACATTTTCCAACTGTTGTCTCTCATCACCCCGCAGTGCGCCTCAGTAACCTTCTAGGGAAGGTGGCTACTAGGTACCCCTGAAATTATTTCTTCTGCAGGCTGACCATGTCCAGCTCCTTCAGCCTCTCCTCACCGTGCTGCTGGCCCTCCACTGGCCTTGCTCCAGTTTAGCAACACTTCTTGTCACGGGTGGATGTGACATATATCTCTTCCTATCTCTGCCACAGCTGGACGTGGTATTCCACATCTGGCCTAATGGAGGCTGAAAAAAGGGAATAATTGCGTCCTTCAAACTACTGTCTACCTTCCTGTTCATGTTGCTCACTGATCTGTTTGCTGTCTCAGGTTTGACTGCTTAGCCCAGGCAGACATCCAAAAAACAAAATAGCATCTGCCAGGAACAGGCACACAAGCCGGAGTGGAGGTCTGAACAGGGTGCAGAGGCCGAGTTGCAGAGCTGGTACCAGTATCTGAGCCCTGCTCTTGCTGGGGTTGTGCTGCACGGTGAGACCCAGCAAGAGGTGGTCAGAGGAGGTGCGGGAGCACTGGGGATCTGATGACAAACTAATGTAATCCCAGACTGGATTTAGGGAGGGGTGATTTGAACACCAGTTAATTTGTGATTTTTGGGGAAGTGCAGTCGCCCTTTGAGACCCGGGCAGTTTATCCTGTACTCACATTGAGCTTCTCCAGTGGCTGGCCCAGGTACTTGATGACATATTTCTCCATGTGCTCACTATACCTTTGCTTGGCTTCTCTCTTCTTGCCCTCCAGGCAGTGGATCTTTTTTTGGCACAGGAAGCAGTGAATGTGGTGGAAATTTTCCATCATGACCATATCTGTGTTCACCTTCAGGTTTGCTGAGGACAGGCTATTGACTTTAAAGAAAGGAACAAATCAGGTATGGAGAGAAGACCCTGCAGGTTGGGTCAGGAGGGACGTGAGATGCAGACACTGTCAGGGTTTGGTCACCAGTGGAGTTTAACCAAGAGCCTGGGTGAGCATCATCACATGTTGTTCAGCTCTTCAGTCACCTTGCCTTGCAGAGCTTGGGGGTCATGACATTTAATAACTGCTTACCCAAAAGGGTGCAGAGACAGTCCAGCCCTGTCCAAGCCCGTGTTTTTACCCGAGTGCTAAAGCAGCACATCAGTGGAGGCACGGCTCGCCGGCTGCAGGCCAGCTCATCTGGAGAGGGCAAGAGCTCGAGCAGCTCATTGTGCACTCGGGACAGAGCAGCCCCTTCTCACTCACAGCAGTAAATGCCATTAGGCCGTCTCATCTGAACAGTCTGATTTCTTCCAGCACCGAAAAGAGTAACTATTCATTACATAAATATGGATCCCTGTTCATTAGCTTGGTTCCCTATCTCACCTGCTCCGCTGCAAACATTGCCAGAGCCTGGAAGGGGCTGTGTTCCTGGATTTATGAGCTGCTATTCAGTGGGTGCTCCCGAGACCTCTGAGCTTGTAAGAAGAGGAGTCTGATGTGTAGTGAGTAGCTGCTCCCTCCATAGTGGGACAGGAGAGGTTGACATTAGATTCAAAGCTAAGCGTGTGTGTCTCAGCCCTGTCACAACTGGGACCACCCTGGTGTGGCAGACACCGTGCACCCAGTGTGCCACCCTCTCTGAATTTCTCTGATGCTCCCAGGCTCTTGCTGGGTGAAGGCAGTTTTGGCTCCCAGGAGGCAGGTAGCCCGCACATGCCCTGCTCCGGCAGCTCAGCCGATTGCCAATAACTCCTGAATCTGCAGCTCTACATCTGCCTGTCTGATACATCCAGCCTTTGTACTCACTGCTGCTGAAGACACTGCCGGCCAGCCTGAGATGTGCTTTGTCCAGCTCCCCCCTCCGCCGAGCGGTCCTGAACGCCGCCTCTGAGAACTTCACAAACTCCTCAAAGCGGCTGACGGAGGGCAGGATCCCGCCTTTCATCTTGCTGGGCATCTTTGCCTCCTCGATCTCTTTGCACAAGATCCCCTGGCAACAACACACAAGATGCAGCGCTCTCAGACCTGACGTGGCTCCCGCCTCGTTTTATGGCGCACGAAGGCACAGGCAAGAAAACCTTCAAAGTAATCAGTTGTGTGTACCGCTTTCTCCATCTACAATATCTTTTACGGGAAGATATGTGAGCTTCCCTGTTCGAGGCTGGACGTGATAGGGCAGAGGTGTTCACCACTGCCACTTCTTGTACTTCTCAGGCTGGTTTATGAGGAGACTTGCTGCTCCAGGTCTTGGCACAAACACAGCTGAGGTCAACATGTGGCTTCCCTTGACCTCACTGGACTCGGGGCCAGGTTCCCTGGCCAATTCTGATGGGTTCTCGGACACCCCCCCACTACCCCCCTTGCTGCTTGGGCATGGACTATATCCTGCTGTGTCAGCAGAACAGGAGAGCTTGGCTCCAGCCATCTGACATGCTGCCCTTGCTCCCACAGCCTCCCAGTACTCTACATGGGGGGGGGATCCCTTTGCTTCGACCATCCTGGTAAGAGGAGGCCCAGATGGCACTTGGGCTTATTGTGTCCCACCTCCCTCACAGGGACATGATCATTGATGCGGTGAGGGTCTAGTCCTCCCAAAACCAAAGAACCAGATCCCTGCCTGATATAAACCAGCACTGCCTGCAGTGAAGATCATCTTAGAGGTTTGGAAGATTCTGGAGAAAGCCAAACATCGCTCAGGTCTAGTTGGGCTTACTCCTACTGACACTCACAATGCATTTGTTGAAGCTGCTCTTGGCCAGGAGCAGCACGTTGCCCAGGACGGTGTTGAGGAAGGGTGAGGGGAGAGCTGAGGAGGAGCCCCACATCTCAAAGACGGAATCATTCAAGGTAACCAGGACCTGCAAGCAGCCGAATGGATGGACCTTATTGCAGACATCTAGAAATCCTCTCAGCTCTGGTTCCAGGCAGCTGAAGATCTCACTCAGCAACCGGCTCGTAGGTTCTTCTAGTCTTAAATACAAATAAAAATGTAAGTAATTAAATGGGGAGGGGCACTGGCCCTGTGGCCAGCTGCAGAAGCAAGGGCAAAGCTAAAGAAAGAATCAAAGACTTCTGTACTGCAATTGAGCCTGTTTATGCTTGGGTCATCCTTCAACTCTTCACCATCTTTGCTTGTGGGAGGATGTTGAAATGTACTGTTTTGCCAGCCAAATGAAAAATTTCAGTGTTTTTACGCTGACATTTTTTTATAAGACTTCTGTTCCACAGTATATCTTCAGTTTATGGCATTGCTAAAAAGGAACTGATCAAAACATGGGGTTTTCCACAAAACAAAAACCTTGCTTTTTTTGATCCACCCTGAAGCAGAGCCCCTGTGCTGGGGAGAGGCAGACCCAGCTGGCTCTGCTCAGCCTCTCTGTACACCCAGCTATAATGCCTCCTGGTTTTTTTTTTGCTCTCCGGGGTGCAAACCTGAGACCACTTAGCAGACATCAGGATGGTCAGGAGTGAAAAAATAAATCCCACCAGCAGTTCCTCAGGCAGTCCCTGTAGGACCGTGCCCCTGCCAGAGCAGCCAGCAATATTTCATCACCCACGTACTGGCTCCGAGGCTTGGTGCAAGGAGGGTCCTCGGGAGATGTTGTGCTTTCTCCTCCCTTAGTGGCAGATGCCTGGAAGAAAGAATGGAATGGAAATTGTGATTTGTCTCCCCACTCCCTCGGAGAGGGAAAAACCTTGAGATCTGGGTTTCTGCTGCCTCAGCCTGGAGTCTGGTGTTGGATGCTTAGAGACCCTGTGGTTTTGCTGGAGCTACCTGTTAAGTTCAAGTCCCTTCTCCTCCGTCATCAGGAGGTCTTAAGCTTCCCCACTACTGACAGTCACTGGAGGACAAGAGCCTCGGAGAGCTCGGGTATCTGACAGAGGGAAGCAGCCACCCCACTGTGCCCGCTGAGGCTTGTATCGGGGGCTAATGGGACGGGAGAGGACAGAGTCCTCGCTCTTACCTGCAGATCCGCGGCGTCGAGGCTCAGCTGGAAGAATTTCTCGATGAACTGCTGCTCCGCGGTGCAGAGGGGTTGCAGCTCTCTCAGCACCTGCTCCAACATCTGCTTAGAAAGGCGTGTTAGAAAACCCTCCCGGCACACACCGGGGACACCGGAGGAGATGTCCGCGTCCCCCTGCAGGGACGCCTAAACCAGGTCAGCGGTACGGAACACCTCTGCTTCTCCAGGCACACAGCCCTAGAGAACGGACCGTGGGGTGGGTTGAGAGCACCGGCACAGCTTTAGGAACCCTTTAGGAAACCTCAGCTCCTCACCTTGATGACGTTGCCTTGGTCCGGTGTGTCCTCCTGGCCTTCTCTGCTCCCAGGGAGACTCCAGCGAGGCTGCTGCCTGCTCCCCACCACCATTGGCTTCTCTAAGCTTTCCTGAAGACCTGCACGATATATTGGTAGGTGGTTAGACCATCTCCATCCCCTTTGGCCTCTCCAGCTCCTTTGATCATTTTAACAGATTTAAATATCTCTTTTTATGTCTGATCTTATGTGTGAATTGGCCTTTTCCTGTTGGGTTCAGACATACACGGGATGCAGGTCTTGCTCTTCCTTTTTTTATCTGCCTTCTCATCTGTTCCTCTTTTCTGCTGTGATGCTTCCCCCTTTGCATCTAGTGCTTAGTATTAACTCTTGAGGGCTGGGGAGGGAAAAATCCTAGGTGATAAGGGCATAAATCAGCAGAAGTGACTTCAAGAGCTTCAGGAAAAATGTTTGTTGATTAATTTTGACAGTAAATTACTGTAAAACAATATTTGAGCAGGGCAGAGGGTTATCTTCTTTTCAAAAAAACCCTAGCCTTTTAAAATTATAAACATTCAGCTGGAAATCAATATACTTTTCAAATATTTCCAGTTTTTACCAGGCTGTTTTCACTGAGTGCTTGGCTTAAGTGGAGAAGTTGAAAAATTTCTTTGAAATGTGCATTAAAAAAAATACTATTTTACTCACTGAAAGAAATCAGTGGGGAAACATCCATACTATTTTCTAATTAATTCTAAAAACTGGCACCATTCCACTAATCCCAGAGGTCCTGGGTGAGTCAGGTCAGCGCTCCATTTCTCATAATACCCAAAATATCTTTTTTTTTGAGCCACTATCTGCAGGTTTTTTACTTTCGGAAAGGATTTGTCAGATACCCTACATGTGGAGCCAGGATGAGAGATGACAGACAACCCTGACTGTGACCTCAGCCTTGCTAAAACCATGGACAAAATTAATGAGCTGCTTCATAATCTTTTTCCCACCCTTACGCAATGGGTGATGATAACTTCACTTGCTGGGAAGTGAAAATCAGGAAAAAAATTATCTCCCCACAGCAAACAGGAAAGAATTTTACGAGCCTGTAAATTTTAATGTGGAAAAGGGAATAGGAAAACGAGGAGAGACTTAATTATTGGCTCATAATTAATTATAAATAGCTTGGGGTTTGCCTTCTAAACTCTCCCATAATACTGAAACAAGGCAATTAATCATCAGATGGGATATTTGGAAGCGATCGGCATAAATAATCCTTGATGAGGGCAGGGAATCAACCCTAAAAATTTTCTGCCAGGGTAATCAGTGGAAAGAAAGAGGCGGGGAGAGCTAGAGCGAGCCTGGGGTATTTTAAAGCAGGGATGAGGGATGTTATCAGGCAAGTGTCCTTGCAGCCGGGGCTTCCAGCCCTGCAGCGGCTCACCCCAACGAGCCGCTGAGCAGGTGAAACGTCAGGGAAGACCTTGGATGAGGTTCCCGCAGAACTTCATCACAGCTGAACCTTCCCTGCAGAACAGCCCGAGGCCAAGTGGTTTTGCAGAAAATATTTCAGCGGGAGCCTCCGAAAGGCCCCGGGAGCTGGGAGAGACTCGGTGCCCGCCGCTGCCGAGCAAATCCGCGGAAGGCTGTGCCGCCCTGACCTGCTCGCATTAATGATGGGCTGAGCACCCCTGACCAAGCCTGGGGATGCCTCCAGACCTGTCCCAGACCTCTCCTCGCCCCAGGGAGCAAAACACGGCACCGGCGCAACCCCCACAGCACCGGCAAAACTCATCTCATCTCATCCTGGCCACGAGAACACCACCAGCAACAGGCAGACACCGTTGGGTGATTTATACCAGAGCAGGGACAGGCTTGTAGCCATCAAGGTGTCCTTCTAGCCCTGCAATGGGTTTTGCAGACACTGGATTTTTCTCCTGGGATTTTAATTGTTTCTGTTTTATGGGACTCACAGAGACATTAAAGACAGACAAGGTACTGAAAGGAAATCACTGGTTTAACGTTTACCAAAAGGGGATCAGGCAGCCTGGCTGCAACACATGACCTATACTATCCCTTTTTTTTTTTTTTTTTTTTTTTTTTATTTAACAAGTCTGTTTTCATAAAGGACCTCTTTAATACCCATCTCTGCCCCTGCAATGTCTCCCATTTTAATGGCTTTCTGAGCAGACAAACTTGGGTGTTTTTATTTTCTGTCACCCAGCAGAATTAAAGTCCCTTGCTGAACCCATCAATCATTTTGCAAATAGGGGCCAGGGCCTCTTTATCCTATACACAATCTTTGTTATTACCTTCTGTTTAAATAAAAGCGATTGCCCTTCTTCAGGAAGTGGTGCTGGATCACATTATCTTATCAACCACAGATTGGAGTTTGCTTCCCCACTAATTCCCTAGGCTTGTTTGCTACCAGTAAGTTCATTACCTCTTATCAGGAATTTTTAAGTGAGAAAGCGCTTTTCTCTGGGAAAAGCTGTGTCCAGGCATGGAGGAGAGGAGTGTGTGAGAGGAATGTTTGGTTTTTTTTTTGTTTTTTTTTTTTTTTAACTATTTGTTTTCCCCGATGTGGGAGGTGAGGCAAACTGTACATCCCTCTCTCCAGGGCTGAACCCAGGAGCTGTGTGATGAGCCGGTCCCTGCATGAGTGAGGAGTAAGAGAACGGGAAGCAAATTGGTCCCAGCTAGAATATCTCATTGCGTACAACTGGTTTATTGGTGCACTCTTCCCTTCTTCCAAGGGTGGGCAGTGCTGGACACCCGGGGGGATGAGACCCAGCTGGACGGTAGGGTGGGGATGGTAAAAATGAACTGGCCGTATCCTGCCCCAGCACGTTATCACCAGTTCCACCAGCCACCCTGGGGAGAGGTGCTCTGCTCGGGGTCTTCTGCCTGGGCCACTTCTCCCTTGTCAGGTGTCCTCCCTGATGATGTCTGTCCTCCCCAGTGCCCCGATCGCAGCCACAGGAGCTGCCAGAGGCCAAAGTGTGGGTAGCCCGGAGCCAACAAGCAATGCCTCGAGTGCTCTGGCACCTCCGAGGAGGGAGGGGGACATTCAGGGTGACAACGTGTCCTGTGGGGAGAAGTCTCTTCTTATACAGCTCTTGGGAAACACTATCCTTTTTCAGAAAGTCCATAGCTCAGTATTATCATGGGATTATTATTACCACCTCATTTTATTTTCCTGTTATCTCCTTGCTATAGGCTTTCCTGAGTCCTCCAGCATCGGTGGCAGCTTGAAGCAACAAGTACGAGTTAACAGTGTTATGCACAAATAATTTCCTATCGCTGCTTTTCAGCACGTCCCTTTGATTTAATTGTCTGTTACCTTCTTTTCAAATTACAATGAAAGTAATAATATCCTGGTGGCTTTCCCTACACAACTTATTTTTTGACCCTTTTTATCATGTCACTACTTATTTTTTGGATCCTTTTTATCACTACTTTTCTGCCAGCACTAGCAGAGATTTTGATCCTCGTTTTTCCCCCTCTTGGCTCCATAGTTTGGCAAATCACTTTGACATGGAAAATTGGGTTTCTGGTGACTACAAAAATATTTCCAGGAGGTGGTCGCTTTCTCCATTTCTAGCAAAAATTCAAAAAGGAACATTTTAATTAAGGATTAGTGCCTGTGCTTCTGCTGTCTCTTTCTTCCTTCCAAGGGGATAAAATTTTGATAATGACAAGTAGAGGGGAGAAAAAAAGCCCAAATATTTTTCCTTTTTGCCTCTTCTTTCCAGTGGCAAAAGCCTGTTTTGGTGAATTTTTCCTTCTTTCTTTTCAGGGCTTGTGTGCTCTGTTGTAGGTAACACGTGCACCGCCAGCGCTGCCCATCCTGGTGTGGTCTCGAGGTCCCCTGTTTTCCCAGTATGTGTGGCTGTCCCAGGGGAACTGGCACTGGGCCGGGAGGAGCTGGAAGGGGCGGTGGGTATGTTGAGATACGGCTGTGATGCTCACCCAAAAAACGGGAGCTGAGACGCGCTCCCACCTCCCCTCTCTTCAGACACAGCATCTGGGCGTCGCAGTCCCGTTGCTGTTGGCGCATTCTGGACTGGGACCGGCTGGGGCAGTACGGGGTGAGCAGACCCAGCTCTCGGGTCCTCTCAGTGCTTCCAGGGGCCGTGCCCCTTCGCCTCTGCGAGGTGGGAGCTGCTGCAGGGAGGCAAAAGGCCGGGTGACAGCACGAAACCTGGGACGTGCTTCCTCTGTCACCCCAGCACGGGAAACGCTGCCAGCGGCAAGCACGGTCCCGTCCCCGCTCATGTGCATGGTGCTGCTAACACGGGCGCTCTCTGTCCCCGAGACTCACCAAGTCCTTCAGAAGATCCACAGAGCAGGGAGGAGATTACAGCCAAACACCCAGCTCTTCTCCCTTCCCTTTCTGGCCGATTCTGAAACGGAGGGAAAAGGCCCTGGAGGGCGACAGAAGTGACAATCCCGTGCAACGGTCTGATCCTGCAGCCTCAGGGTTGCTCACTCCAGATGCCCATGGCCCAGGTTCCCTAACCATCCCTTGTACCCCCCAAGGATGGCATGGGCTTCGCCCCAGAAAAGGATGGGCAAATATCAGGGCAGCTGGACAGAGGCTGTTGGTGCAAGCGTTGTTGTGGGGTTCAGCACAGCACGGGCGGAAAGGCAGAGCCCTTCGCTGGGCTCCTTCAGCCACCAGCCCCTTTTCCTTCCCTGGGCTTTGTCTTCTGGCTCTGGGGTCTGGGCACAAGTGAGGAAATAGGTGCAGAGCTGGAGGAAGCCGGGCTAGCGCTCTAATAGACTAAACACACCCTGCAAAGTGGGTTTTGACATTCAAGCTGGGCCAAGCTGGCCTGGAACTTTCCATTACAGTGCTTTGTTTTGCTGAAGGAAAACTTCTGCACAATCAAAAACTTCCAGAGGAGACAGATCAGTTTCTCTTTTTATCTTCAGAAACACCTGACTGGAACATTTTGAGTCAGATGCAGCGATTTCTGTTGAAATGGTCACCTTGGGACTACACAGCCCCACAGTCAGCTCACTATGAAATCATTCTGCTCTCACAAATATTGCTATGAATACACACGTGTCTCGAGGGGCAGGTTTGGTGCCATCTCTTTATAGGAAAAAGAGTGTCTGAAGAGTCAGCAACCAGCCCTGATCGCAGGAAATACGGGCCAGGCAGTCCCACGTCCCCCTCTCTTACGGCTCCTCGGGCCACGATCTCGGCCACCCACGCACCAGTTCTGAGTCCTGCAAAGGGAAGGCGCACCAAAGCTACAGCTCCGAGAAGCAGCTAAACAAAATCGGATAATACACGGAGCCACGGCTCACCCAACCACTGCCTGGTGTAAAGCAGAGCCAGCCTGGCCACGCGCTGCCAACTGCAGACCCAGGCCGGGGAGAAGAAAGTAAATTCGTGGCACAAAATCTGGGGAAGACGCCTGTGATGGAGGATGAGTGCCGTGTTCCCTGCTTGCAAGTAAATCACTGCTCGGCAGCACAAAGGTCATATTCGCAAATCACTCACTTCCTTTTCTTCTTCCTAACAAGGAGGTTTTGGCTTGTTCAAAAAAGGCTTTGATTTCCCGGTCGTAGAGTCCACTGAGCTTCTGGGCATAGACCTGGAAAGTAGAGAAATGGCCAGATGAAAGCAAAAAGAACAGATTTGAACATTTCAGACCTTTTCCTTCAACGCAATGTCCGCCGCCGAGTCCCAGACTGCTTTCTGTCAAGCACAGGGGTCCAACATCATGTGGCCAAGTTGGCCAGACTCTATCCTAGAAGGGCCAAACGCTGGAAGCTTGTGGGTGGCATGGGTTTGGTGAAACCACGCTCTCATCGGGAATGAACCGGTCTGACCAATCTGTTCCTGGTGGATGGTTTGCAATAGTTGCTCAGGATTTCAGCCGTACCTTGGGGAGATCGCAGAACAGAACGGGGTTGGTGTTCCTCAGCCAGGCCATGAGCGGGGTGTAGGGTACCAGTTCCTCATGGTGGAGTCCATGGCTCGGTGCAGAGAGCTTGTCAACGGGCTGACCAAAATCAGGGACCCGAGCATTACCCTAAAACAACCGAAAGGGCAGAAAAAGTCAAATGAAACATAGCCTTGAAAAGCTCTGTGAAATAATTGCTTCATGATCATCCTTGAATTTCCAGTTCTGAATATGTTTGAGAAGCAAATTTAAAAGGTGAGGCACGGCACGCGTGATCACCTTGAACTCTAGTTTTAATCCCACGTGCTGGGAACAACTCTGAGCTGACCCACCAGTAATAAGTGGGGTACTCCAGCCAAGCACAGTGGTCAGGAGAAGACACGGGAGAAAAGCTCATTGCTCAGGACCATGCTGGAAATTGTCCCTCCAAGCACCCAGGGGGTGGGTATGCCTGGGGAGGGGGGGATGCAGGGGAGAGGAAGGATGCTGGGGGGTTGATGCAGCCCATCTGCCAGGAGCTGGCAGAGCTGGGACACGGCACCCACAGGCTCAGGGTCGTGGAGGTGGGACGGGAGCTCGGCAGGTTCAGAGCGGGTCCAGGCGGAGCAGCCAAGGTCTGAAAATCTCCAAGGATGGAGATCCCACCGTTCCCTCCCAGTTCCCTGCCCGTCACATCCCTTCCCAGTGTCAATGCTTGAAAGTAAATGCTAAAGATTTAAGGAAATAACACTGAGGATTTTTGGGGGTTGCTCCTTTTCTCTTCATGAAACGAAATCTAGAAGAGTAACATTTTCCTTTCTGATTCCTGCCCACTGTAGCTTTTAAATTGCAAGTTGAGCACTTGAAAATGTTAATCAAAGGATCAAAGGATTGGCTTTTATCTTGGGATTTCATGTTACAGATGAACAACCACCACTCTCCCACCCCTTCCCTGAAGTAAAACAAAAAAATCTAAAGCAAAAATCTTCAGGCCTAAGCACTTTTTAATGTGACCAGAGGATTAATGATTGTCATGGGAGGGAATCTGATAGCCTGATAGACACAGAATTGTGCTGGATTTCTTCCTCACGCCTGCAAAACTAACCAGAGGGCTGGGGGGGGACACAATGGCAGGGTGAAGGTATCTGAAAAGGCCTCTCTGGGGAGACACTTCAGGAAAATCCTCTTACGGTGGCATCCCCTATGCTGCTGGTACTATTTGACCAGAATATTCAAATCTCCCAGGATTTTGAGGTGCCATGTGAAGAGCAAGGCCCACCTGCAGCTCAAAGATGCTCGTAATGTGACTGATGAAAGAGCTTTCGAAGTTCTGCTTGAGCGTTTCAAACATGATCAGCTGCTCAGCCACAGATTGCAGTTTCCGATAACCTTGAGGAAGAAAAAAAAAAAGAGAGAGGGTATCGAGGTACCGAGAGGCACGAGCTGTTGTGGCAGAGGACCAGCATCACTCAGCACGCTGACAAATATGACAGGTCTTCCAAGGAGTAAGTTCTGGGGTAAATACTAGCACCCAAAAGCCAACAAAGGGGAAAAGATTTGTTGTGGTACCAAGCAAATACAAACAGGGAGTTTAAAGTAAAAAAACTAAATAATTGCAAAGCATCCGCCAGTCCAACCATGGCCAAGGACAAACTCTCAGTCTCTTCACAAGGAAAGCTCAGGGTTTTATGCCAGGATCAAGTCCTTGTACTCTGGCAGGTCTCCAACAACACCCACAGTGGATACTGCTACGACGAATTATCATTTTTCCATGCTCAAGCACAGACAATTGGGTAGCCCCAGGAGACCACAATTTCTAAATATGCCTTTTCACCGGCTCCTTTTTGAAATAGAAGAGGTGTTGTATACAGATGGCAGACAACGATGCCTGACACCCAGGTGTTTAGAGGAACTGTATACATCCTTGCCATAAGTTTGCCTTAACTCCAGTGTGAACTGGACCGGGCGGTGCCCGAGCCCGGAGGTGCCTGTGGGCTGTGGATGCTCCAGCCTGGCCGCTTGCAGCATGACTTAGATTTCTCTAGGAACGGAGCCAATCCACCCCCACACCCCACCTACTTTTCTCCGTGGCTGTTCAGAGGTACGTTGGCTTTCCCAGCCCTGCTCGACTGTGCTCTCAGCTGAAGCTGCTGAAGCCTTTGAAATCTTCAGCAACGTCTCCAGAAGAAATCCCACCCCGCAAGCCTGTTTCCCCAGCTCGCAGCTCCGCGTGCGCCGCAGGGAAGTGATGCTTGTAGCTCTGCACCTTACACCCCAGGTACCCCCAGGTGCTGCTGCTGAGCTTCCCAAATATATGCCTGCTTTTACTTTCTATCCTACTTTTTCCCGGGCTGCCCGGCAAGCCTGTGAGCTGATTTCTGGGAACACCCCCCCCAGCTTCAGCGGTTCAGGGGCCCCTGCAGAGGCTGGGCAGTCGCAGAGCAGTGCTGGGTGTGCAGCACAGGTTGTGGATGGGCCGGTGGCTCTGCTGTCTCCAGACATAAATCTCTGCTCTCTACTCACCGGGCTGTACCTGGATGTTCATGCAGGCAGATAAAGCCTCTGCTGCAGCAATGCAGGCTTTCACTCTGCCGGGGCTGGAAAGATCTGCCCGGCTCAGGGCATCGCAGTGTTCCCTGCTGAGGTTGAGGTGGGTCTAAGGACAAAGGCAGAAGAGAACAGGTCCAAGCACAGCCAGATTCTCAGCCCTTCTCATCCCACCCAGAAGGCTGCTGGCTTGAAATAGCCAAATGGTACCTTCTGCTGCCAGGCTGTCCCTCAAGAAGACTGCGCTGCCCTACCCCCGTCAGAAATAAAGCTCTGCACAATAACAAGTGCAGTAGTCGGCATGGAAGCCCTGGCAAACCTCAGCACCTCTGGGATCACTGCTGGCAGCAAAGCGGTGGGGAGGAGAGAGAAAAAGCTAAGGCGACTGCAGCTGGAGTGACTCAGAAATGAAAAGGTCAGCGGCATAGAGGTCACCGTAAGCAGTGGAAGTGAGGATTAGCTGTGCTATTGCAGCATAGTTCTTGCATTTACGGCATGTTATGTTTGTAAATAATTTGCTTTCCCATATTCCCAGAGCTCATCAAGAGCCTTTCCGCTGGCTGGGCTGTCCCCTGTGCCAGTGTCTCTGGGGCTAGGAGGTGCTACAGAGAAAAGCTCCTTACACTACCCCAGATGCTGAGACAGGCTGATGTGCACAAAGCCCACAGCTGCCGGCAGACATGGATTTAACAGTTAAGTTACCTTCAAGGGTCAGGGGGGAGGAAAAAAAAAAATCAAACAAAGAAAACAACAAAAACAAACCAAAGGATAGAAAAGGAATGAGGAAACTCCCATCAGTGGGAAGAGGTGCAACAGGGTCCCTGGACAAAGAGCCTCTCCAGGGCAACGGGGCATCCCCAGATTGCTTTTCCCGTGGCAGATGTATAATTTGGCTCAGGACCCACTCAAAGTCCCCAGTGGTTCCTCTGCCTGTGAGGTTATCAGTGCTGATGGGAGCAGGCTTTGAGCAGGGGTGGGTGTTGCATGCTCTGGCTCTCATTGCTCTCTAAGTACTGTGCTCGCCTATTCCTGCGTAAGGATTGTTGGCTATTGAAATTACTATTATCTACTAATGAGAGCTGGTTTTCCCTAGTACAAAGTTATAAACTGAAAGCTCTCAAGTGAAGGGAGGAAGCAAGCAACTACTCTCATCGACAACTGCTTCCCACATCATTTGAAGCTCATCTTGCCCACAAAAAGGACTTTCAGGGACCACCCCTCTCTTACAGCCCCAGACCATCTGCACATCATGCCTGCTGATCATCTGCCTGTAGTCCATCCCAGCTGTGTGGCCGTCCTTATATTATCAAGACAACAAAGCCCCTTGTTACTCAGCCAGAAAAGCTCTGTAGTCTTTGCAAACAGATGATAGTTTTCAGAGGGCTTGAGGCTCACTGAAAGTCTTTCGTAATAAATTCAACAGGCTGAAGATTTATATCTTTGCAAATCCACATACCGTGAGGAAGAGGATCTCATCCATCAGCCTTGTCTTGTTGGAAACGATGCGATGTAGCAAGGAGTTTTCCTGGTGGATGTGATCCATCTGCTGCTTCACGCTTCCCAGTAATTCATCGTAGATCTGCAAGGTCTCCTCCACTCTGGCCACCTCTGCCAGGGCCTCGTCAATGGAGCTCATCAGCTGCATCACCTGCTTCTCAGAAGAGATAATGGCTCTAAGGTTGGCCTGTGAAATGGAGAAACAGAGGGCTTCAGCGCCGTAGCAGGGACTGATCACCACCATCTCAGAGTCAACGGTCCCGAACAACACCCTCCCAAGTCAAAGCAGAGACCCTGTCATTATAACGTGCAAGATGCTGTTATAACTGTAGCTGTCCTGCACCACTACCTGCACAAGCTCAATGTCTCGTCTTCGCACTTGGCTAAACTCTACACCAGCAACCACCTGCAAGTCCCAAGGGCCAGGGCAGAACAAAACCCTTCCTTGAGCAAGGTGTACACTCAGAGGACTTTCATCTTCCACAGCAAAGAGGTTACTGCGGAGTCGCCAGGCGAATCCGACCATGAGCAGAGTACAGACTGGAGGGTTGGAGAGGGTACCAAGCCCTGCTGGCTTCTGCACCCCACTTTTCCCTCTGTGCACTAAGAACATCTCAAATGGACACTGCGTGGAGCCCCCAACCCTCAATCCCCACACTGGTGAAGTCCCCTGAGGAACCTGGGTGTCTATCCCACGTTATTTGTAAGAAAACATGCCAGCTTTGAGGAACTGGCCATTTCTGGCTGGCTCGGACACGTTTATGGAGACCATGGCCATGCCAAGTGCCTGCTGCAGCACGTTTCGCACAGCTCCAGGCATTGACACTGCTGCCAGGGTGTTACCCAGCTGAGCTGCTCTGGCAGTGGAATTAATAAACAGTTAAATCATGCATGAGACATGCACATATATATGTCTCTAATATGGAAACTGGAGGCACAATTTGCCTAGGGAGGTCTCAGGCATTTGTTTTGACGGGTGGTAGAGATATAACGGCGTGTTAATCGCTGCTGACAAGCTCCGCTAGAGATTAACTGCTTCCAAATGTTAATTGTATCATTTTCAGGGCCTATGTACCATGTGGGATATCAAAAAAAACCAATCAATAGACACGGGCCTGGGAGGCGTGAGTCTTCCAGACTGCTATTTTTTTCTGCATTAATAAAGCTTTTTAAAGAAGTTTGTCTTTTCCGATATCCTAATTTTCCAATGTCTTTTTCATGGAATGAAGAAGAACAACAGAAGCATCGGCACCCCCCAGCACGCCCCACACTCAGCTGGCTAGTGGGAAACGAAAGGAGGAAGAGAAATAAATTCTTGTCAACCCAAGTCAACTGTGGCTTGGACCCACCCTGTGCTCCGAAATAGGAATGTGTCTGGAAGCACAGTAGGTGCTGGGCATCTACAGTCCCTGTGGTAAGGACTTTCTCTTCTCCCAGCTCCACCTGCACGGCTATCGGGATAAAGATGAGCTGGCAGCCCCGGCCCTAGAGATGCTACATGCAGGATGGGATGCTGGAGCAGCGCGGAGGGTGCTCCTGGAATGTGCAAGAGCCACTTTGCAGCGCACGCCGGGACCGGGCGGCTTGGGTCCCACCGGCAAAGCACGGAGCACAACTCCCCCGGCAGACGCGGTGCCACGTTGGGGAAGCGTGGGAGAAAGGGCCACGAGGAACGGCCTCAGACGCGGGCAGATCCACAAGGGATCTGGAAAGGTCTGAGGGATTCTGTAGGAAAGAAAAGCCTGGTATCACAGCAAACACAGCAAAGCTCCTCTGTCAAAGGGTAGAGATGAAACCACCCTCAGTGCAAAGCGATGCTGCTTCCCACAGGGAGCCCAGCGACGGCAGGGTGGGCCGAGGTTTCGCTTGCCACCGGGCTCAGGAGTTGGATTTGAAGCCCGGCTTGCTAATGCCCACGGAGACTCATCTCCGACGGCACCAACGATGCTACGCGAATGCTCCTTCTGCCCCGGAGCCCAACCAGCCCACGCAGACCAGCGTGAGGGACCTGGCTGGGAGCAAACAGCCCCAATCCCAGGCTGCTGCTTTCCAGCCACACGCCAGGGACCCCGACCTGTGGCCACGGGGCTCTCTGCCCGGAGCTTCGCGTTTTATTAAATGTTCCTCAATTACAGCCATAAACCTCCCGGCAAGCCCGTCGCCGCCGTGCCTACAGATTGTCTTGTTAGGGCTTGGCAACCCCCCGGGGGGTTGCGTTGAGCAAAGCATCAGTGGTGACACTGGCGGGGCAGCTGATGGCAGAGAGGGCTCTCCGGAGAATCGCCGCTCGGGGAAGGGTAATAACTCTCCCGCCGAAGGCAGCAGAAAGCTGCCGGGAGCTGCCTGCCTTTCAGCGGGTGCTGGGATCCTGCAAGTACGTCGGAATACCAATGTAAAAATCAGAGCTCGCCGGTGCCCTGGCCGTGCTTTCCTTCCCTCCCAAGCACATAAACGCTTTCTTGCTGTCGGTGCGGTGTTTCGCGATCCCCAGAAGAGATGGGTTAGCGGAGGGTGATTAGTATCGTAAGAGGAAGACGAGGTGTTATCACTGGGATGCGGGGAAAAACATTTAAATATATGCATGTGCTAGCCTAACTTGCTGGTATTAATCATGCTTAATATCATACATTAAACCTTAGAAATAGAAACATCTCATTAATTAATTTGTATTAGCAATAAGTGACATTCTTCATTAAAGGGCATTAAAATAATGTATTCGACAGCGCCTTTCATCACAAAGAACTTAATGGAGATTTGTTAGTTACTCTGCTAGGGTACCTTACCGCGGGGAAACAGCCACAGAGTGCTTGTACGACGTGCCAAGGGCAGGCAGGAGCAGACCTCAGGAGTTTGGTCTTCCAGATTAACTACAAAGTTTCCAAGTGTATGAACTCATATATAAATGCGAATTGGGAATACAGCAATTTCTGGAGCTAAAGGAGGTTCGATTTAAGGTTTGTGGTTTCCTGTACGTTTTAGGCTATTTCTTGTGGCTTATTTTTTTCCCTTTATTCTTCAGTTACCTATCTGTAAAATCCTAGCACCAGGTATATTAGCATAAGATAAACGTTCAAAGCAGCTATCTCATTATTTTGCTCCAGCACTCAAAAAAGAAATTATCCTCTGCAGAAATGCAATAAAATACAGCAGCTCTAATAAAGTAAATAAAGCTCACTAGTCTGAAAATAATGTGCGCCTTCTCCATTGGCCCTTTCTACTACAGTTTATCTTTCACTTTTTATCTCCTTCCAGCTCTGTTTCATTTTTTTTTACCTCTTTTCTTTCTCTCTAGCTGCTGCTTTTCCTTCTGTAGGGATCACTGCTGGCCCTTTCCTTTTCCTTCCTACCCAGCTTTCCTCCAGTCTCCCCTTCCCGAGGTAACTGAAGTGCTTGTGCTCAAGTTAAAAAGAAAACAAAACCAAACCCCCAAACAAACCTGAAATAACAGGAATTTTGGATCTATCTGTGACAGCCTTCATGGCGACGTGGCAGGACTTGTCCCCACTGCTTCTGGCTGTGGATTTGGCAGGAGCCCGGGGAGCTCTCAGAGCCCCAAGGTGCCTGGCACGTTAACCCTCCCCGTGGGACACCCGGCCCGGTGCAGACAGGGGTGGAGATAAACAGCATGGGCACCGTCACCCCCTTTTCACCCCGTTTTCCCCTTGGAAATCATTTCCAGAGGAGGTTAAAGCTGTGAGATCGCTCAAGATCGCCGCCGACCTGCCTGGAGGTGCAGCTCGTCGGCCCAGCAGTAAGGGCTGGAGGCAATGCCCTAAACCAAATTTATTCTGCACTGGTGACCACAAAAGCGACGCTCCTAATTCACACTGCGTGGGACACAGACCTTCTGCGCAACGCGAAGGAGATCCCGGAGCTCCCCAGCCTCATCCACCGCCCTCAGCCAGCCCCACTTCACTTTGCCCCACACTTAGACCCTCACCCATCCCTGCGCTGCCCCCAGAAGTTATAAATCCCTCACAGCTACGCATCCACGTGCAGCCGGGCTCCACATCCCTCCCTGCAGCTGGGGCTGTGCCGCTGCTTTGTTTTACCCCTTTGCCAAACTGACAGTGGGCTGCCACCACGTTCATCCGAGAGACGCCGCTCAAGCCAACGCCTAAGGGTGGTTAAGCTCAGCAGAGACAGATATCTGGTGCCTGGCTGCCGGGCTGCAGCTCCTTGTTTAGACACTGCAAGGGTTGGGCAGCCGCAGGACGGGGCACAGCGGGACAAACACTGACCCTCGAGAGGGGTCCTGCACCCGAGATGCCTTTTGAGCTGAAGCAGCCCAACACCGAGATGACTTTCTCACCGATCAAGCGCTCACGGCAAACGAAGGAGCTTCTGATACCCAGAGACTCCACGCCAGGCACCTCCTTTTCGGTTGGGTCACAGCCCTCGGCCCCCTTACCTCGTCCAGCACATGGAGATCGTTGCTCAGCTGCTCTGCGAAGGCCACGGAGTTGTTCACAAGGGGCTCGTGCTCCTCCATCAGCTTCAACACGTCAGCAGCTTCCTTTGGTGTCATCTCCTGGTAGGCACTGAGCTCCTCGCGGCTCTCAGCCTCCGCGACGTCCTTCTCGTCTTCCCGGGCCCTTTGCTTCCCTGCACGGGCAGGAGGAGACGTGGAGATGGCCAAAGCCTCCTAACTACGTCATTTTGTTCGCCCCGGGGGTCCCACCGAGCCCAAGGGACACGAGTCCGGTGGTCTCGTAATCAGTTAGAATAAGATCACAGCGTGGAGCAAAGGAAGCTGCGCATGGGATGAAGGGCCAGCTTTGTAAGAGGGACAAAGCGGACGTTTGGAATTTAATTTGAGCTCTGCTTGTGTTTTCACATGCTCACTTCTCGGGGGGTCGCGTGTTGGGGAATGTTGGTACGTTTGTTACAGAAAGCCGAGAAAAATTTCAGAGGTTAACAGGCTTCTGATCAAATATACTGCTAGTCATGTGTTGTAGAGTAAAATATAGTTTTATATCCATATATATCTGTATTTCCTGATAAACTGCTGGGGAATGTTACCAGGCAGGCAGCCAGTCTCCCCCTGGCCTGGCATGACCAGCACTTTATTGCTCACCTTCCCCAACCCAGAGTGCAGATAATGTCTCTGAAGATAAGATAAACTGTCCATCTATTTTTCTTCCCAGCCTAGCACTGTGTCTCCATGGCAAGTCAGTGGATAAATCGGGTGGCTGTGCCTCCAGATGCACAAAACATGGGTCCTCCTGTTTCCCTCTCACTGGTACCCACCTCAGCCTCTCCCGTCATCCGCCTTCACTGCTCGAAATTTATTCACCTCCCACCCCTAAAGCGATGATAGTGATGAATCAAAAAACCCAAACCACTCCGAGTGTGGCAAGGAAACTAATTACCTTCGGCTGCGCAGGAGGGGACATTCACAAATGTGATAGAGCTGGCGAGGAAGCGGTGGTTCAGCTTCCACAGGCATCTGATAAAGGTTTTCTTCTCCTCAAAGTTGCTAGCGGTCCACTTGTAAAGCTTATCGAACTGCAGGTCAAAATCCAGGCTCGCCTAGATGTCAACAGTTAATTACCACATCACAGTTAGCTGCCCCTTGCCACACCACGTGCGCTCAGCACATTTTAACAGCAGGCACTGATGCGAGGACAACCTCGTGCACCCGGAGGAAAAACACCTCCGGGTTGTAGGAAGGAGGGGGGGATACACCTCTGCGTTGCAGCTTTGAGGTTTTGGTGGCCCCAGGAAGCCACGTTGTGCCTGTGAATGACCAGCACAGGGCTTAGATGTTAGAGGAGAGAGCTCTGTGTGTCCCTTCAAGGGCTGGGGGATGATCCTGACAGCTCCCTGAGACCACCTAGCAAAAAGCCTGGCTGGCCGTGCTGGGAAGGTGACCCCGGGGAGACCAGTGCCACCGGCCGCATCATGCCAGTGACGACTGGTTTTGGTGGAGCTGCACAGGTATAGGCAGACCCAGATGTGATGAGGGGCTAAAATGGGGTGTTGCCCCCAACGACACCTGACGTGATGGACACCGGCTGTACCGTGCCCAGGGCAGCTGCTGTCAGAAGCTTGATTTGAAGTCTTTCGATCCCTGAAAAATTCCGTATTTCCAAGCTGACAGCAGGCGATTCCTCCAGTTACCAGCAAATCCTCCTCTGTGCCTCTTCCCTGCAGATATAGACATCTCTGCCTGGACTTCTGCTGCTATCCCAGAGCAACTGGGTAGGATTGGAGAGGTATGTTCATGGTGCTTGGCAAATAATCACAGGCATGATAAAAGCAATGAATATAGAAGGATACACAGCAATTCTGACCCTGGAAGGGGGCACCAGGACACACATAACGGGTCAGACCAAGCAGTCAACCAGTCCCAGTGTCCTGATCCAGTATGCTGGTTTCTTTTCAGATTATATAAATCCCTCACCTTTTACTGCAGGGCCTGAACGCTGATGAATTTTGACAGCGGCCAGTGACAGATGCTTGGGAGAAAATGCGTTCAAAGGGCAAATCCAGAGGTACATTGCCTCCAGGATTCCCTGCCAGCCTCCAGCAGCCCGTGATCCAGCAGCTCACCGAGCCAGAGGTCGCATCCACCGCACTGTGTTTAACAGCCCTTGAAGGACCTACTGTCCCCGATTCCCTCTAATGGTTTTTTGAACTTATTCATAGCGTTGGCATCCACAGCATCCTGTGGCAATAAGCTCTGCAGTGTAATGATGTGCTGAATGAGAAAGCTTGAATCAACTGGAGTTAGGTGTTCGGGGCAAGCCCAGCACCCACCCTGCCTCCCACTGCAGATATTCCGCTCTGCAGTCCTCGCCCGACCTGAAATCTCAAACCTCTCTTCGCTCAGGAATTGGGAACACCCAGAAACAGGCTCCCCCCACAAGCTCAGCCCTGAAGTCTCCCCAGCAGCACGGTGGTACCACACGTTTCACCCGGCATCTCCCAGCGGCCCCACTTCCTGACAGGGGAAGGTCACCCGAGAAAACAGTAGCATGGACCGGGGAAAAAAGCCCCCCCTGGAATTTCTCCATGTTTTTTTCATCCATATAAGTGTTAATATCTCTACGTCTATCTATGCCCAAAGGATGTAGTCTCATGGAAGGGGAACTCCGGCCACGGGAGGCTTAATTTTTGCCACTAAGCAGTGTATAGGTGGAGAGAATAAGGGAGGTTGCCAAACTCAGAACACCCCCCAGAATCTCCTTCCTGCGCCACCTCATTAGCTCTGCGGCACAGCCTGATCTCATCCTCTGGAGAACTTAGAAACCGCACTTATAATTATTGATACTAATCATCGTAACAGACATAGGGTTTACGGGGGATTGACGCAGCCCTACGACGCTTTAAGGGTTGCTTTCTAAACACCTCGGAGCCATCCATCACGCCCCCGCGTTGCTGTGCCGGCGCGGGAGCAGCCCCTGCAACGGCGCAGAGCGGCGAGGTCTGGGGGAGGAATTCGCAGCGCGCGTGGTTTATGGCGCGCCTTCTGAGGAGCTATTAAAGCAGGGAGGCACCCGTTAATCGTTTCATAAATATTCATAGTGGTTTGGTCAAGGGAGCTGTAGCTTTAAGCACCGCTGGACTTGCGGTGTCAGCGTTTTGCTGGTGCCAGGGAACAGAGAGCTTCCCAGCGCGCCGGAGCGGACCTGGCGCCCAAGCCCTTCGCTGCGTGTCCTGAATATTGCCTCACGAGCTGGGGGCTGGCTGTAGTCGATATTATCTGCTAAGCGGCAGAGGAGAGCTCTCGTTTCGACTTCCACGGGCCTGCCAAGCCGCTCAGCGGGGAGGGACGGGGCGGGCACGAGCACCGGGCTGCACTGGGGAGCTGGCTTTGCGCTGGGGTCTCCGTGGTGGGACCCGTGAGGTGTCAGCACGGGCTGGCTGCAGCCTCCTGCTTCAGGCTCTCCTCTGCCTGGGGACCTCGTGCAGCAGCTTCACCCGGCGAGTAGGTCCCATTTTAGGAATGACACGGGCCATTTCGGCTGCCCCTGTTCAGGAAAGGCCAGTTCAGCCTGGAAGAGGCAAGGAAGAGGGTTCCAGGCCTGATGAAGGGAACAGAGAAGGCGATACGGAAGCGGAGACTAAGAGGTCAGTCTCCTCAGCCTGCCAGAAGGAAGGTTAACAGGGGAGGTGACTGCAATCTAAAATTACGTCTGCGAAGGAGAAAAGCTGTCTAACCTAAAGGACAGCCATGGCCCACGCGCAGACGGGGGTGATGTGGGCAGGAATACAGGCTGGGAGTCAGAAGAAGGCTTCAGCCATCGGGACAGCCCAGTTCTCCATTTGCCTCACAGTAGGAAGGCATTCGAAGACACACCAATACTTTATGATAGAGTATTATCTGTTTATCTCACTTGGATGGCAAATGAGGGGGGAAGGACTCAAAATCCTGGAGGTATCTTCTAATCCTAACTCCTCAGAAGCCAAAGCAGTTTAGAAGACTTGGTGGAGCCAGGCTCATCTGCTAGAAGAAAGCTCGGGCAGGATGAAATCGTGTATTCCCTTGTGTACAGGAAAATGTAAGACAGTTCAGTTCTACCCATGGGATCAGGATGGCCTGCAAACCTGCAATTGTGATTTTCCTTTCAGACATGCCGTGCAGATGTACTTTATTTGTCCTGGATGTAGAACTGGAAAGCTATTCTTTTTCGCATTTATTCCTGTGCTTGTGAAAACCCAGGCACCTTGCCAAAGACCCTGGAACATTCACATTAATAAAAAAACTAATTATAACAACTTTAAAGACACTCTGCCAGCCCCAACAGCAGAAAGGGAATATCTCGTCCATGTTTTCTTTCCCAAAACCTTAATGTCACCCTAAAAGCACAGACTCATGCTGACTCCAACTCTCTAATCCTTCTTTCAGTAAATGCCTCCATTTAATCTTTAAATACCCTATGCAAATATCTGTCAAGAAGCTCTGTCAACATGGATCGACAGATGGGCCTGACAGTGTGTTCTGCAAATGCTGGAGACCTGACAAGAGCCCATCTCTCCAGCCTCCGAGGGCTGCTGCAAAAGAGCTTCAGGAGGTCCTTTGCCTGAGGAATAGGGGGGGTTTGCCAGCTGATTTTGATGAAAGCCACGTCCAGGCAGCGGTCACCCTCTCACTGCTCACCCTGGTCAGGTATTTGGCCAGCCTGGTGTTTCCTAACTTAGAGAGGGATGACTCGGGAGGGAGGAAATTGCTCCAGCCTCAGCATCCTGGGCACAGGCATCTCCCTGGAAGAGATGGGGGAAACAAGAAATCCAAGAGCACTGAGGTAGGATGGAGGAACCATCCAGGGAGGGACCTCAGTTCACCACACTCTAGGAAACGGCTCTGAGGGAAGGCAGAGGGCTATTACATTTTTTTTAACAGTGGTTGTTTCCTCTAAATTAGGGTTATTTGGGCTGGTTCAGTCCTATATTAGAAACCACACACACACTGCTCTTCCCACCATCTAAACATGTAGGCTGACCTCCAGAGGACCCAAATCCTCCTATAGATCCTCGCCTGGGTCTCTCTAGCTTCATATTCACCTCTCTCCTCCCTGACCAGTTCTGCCCCACGCCACAGAATTAAAATCCATCCTACCTGATTGAGAGTCTTGCCATCTACCAGCTTCAGCTCTGCTAAAGGCCACCTGTAGGTTATCTTGTACTGCTCTCCTCGGTCCACCTTGACCTTCACCAGAAACGGCTGCATTGGCCTAAAGGCATCCACTGAGGATGAGGGGGGAAAAAAAAACAAAAAACAAAAAACAAAAAAACAACCCCACATAATTATTGATAGCCCAGTACACAACAGATCAGTGTGAGTAGACAAGGACAGATGGACACGCAGACACTGATTTTGCATCGTGGCTCTATAGAGAGGTGCTACAGGGTTTCTACTGAATCTTCACGGAGTATTTACATATGGGCAATGCTCTCTGGGGCCTAATCCAGAGTACCGTGAAGCCTATGGAGGGATTCCCAATAATTTCAATGAGTTTTAAACCAGGCCGTTGTGCTCTACACAAGGCACAAGTAATAATTCAGCAAGGTCCAAATGTGACAGGAACAGGGCACAGTTCCAGGGGTAACTCATGGGTAGTTCCAGGGGTAGCTCATGTATTTTAGATGCTACTCATAGGGTGGCTACATCATCCCTTGGAGATGTTCCTCCTGCCCTTCACTGGCTACGGAGAGAGTTGTAGCACATATTTTACGTCAAACACTATGGCTAAGGCTGTCAGAAATTAATCCTGTAGTAGGTGACCACACTGCCGAGAAGATCATGGGCAGGAAAGTCTCTCCCCTGTAAGTCTGTCAAAAAAAAAACCAACTATGCTAACAACTCAGGAGTGATGGAGCAACTGGAGAAGCATAGACCAAAGGAGACGGAAAATTTCCCAGAGCACTTGCACCTTTGGATTCTAATCAAATAGCTACGTAGTATTCCTGAAACGTCCGCGTACTGCTAAAACTTTCACCAAAACTATGGAGAGACAGAATAAGGCTGTAACGCTGTGCCATGTTAGAATGGTTTGTTGCTGACCTCTAATGACAGATTTGATACAAATGGTAAAAAACCCAATAATCTCACAAGGGTGAAGAGAGAAATCCTGCAAACCCCAGCTCTCTCCAGCCAGCTAAAGATCATCAACATTCAAGAGGGAACTTCGGCTTTTGTTGCCAGTTTTTGACAGGCTACACTGACATGGCACAGCTCCTATCTTTGGATTAAGATTTCCTTCATTTAATCTTAAAATACAGCATTCCAAATAGCGGTCCTATCACTTCTCCCAGATTAGGAGAAGAGCCATCAGAGACCAAACTCTTGGAGTTTGCAAGAAACGTCCCTGGGTTTGCAACCTGTCTCCCAGCCCCCCGGGGTTCTCACCCACAACACAGAGAACGGACATCTTCTTCTTCCTCCCTGTCTTCCAGACACGAACGGTTTCCAGCAGCCTCTTTTTCTGCGGGTTGAACACATCTTTTTCCAGTGAGCTCCAGAGAGAAGCCGTGGTGGTACCCGAACACGACAGCAAGCGGTAGCTGCGGGTGCTTCCCACCGATGCTGGCGGTCACCGCAGCACCTCCTGTGAAACACAAACAGGCTGGGGGCACGATCCCCACGCAAGCCCTGCCACACCAGTAAAATACATTACCCCCACACTGATTTAATCTCTGTTGCCTTGCAGACAGCCAGGTCATTGGTGCAGATCTGAGGCTGGAAGGGTCTTTTATAATCAGCTGGTCTGAATTCCTGCCCAGTGCAGGACCACAATAAAGCACCCCTAACTTCTTCAAAAAAACCCTCCTTTTTGTTTCCAACTCAACATAGTATCTTGAGCAACAGGACCATGTCCATGGGCAGGCGGAACAGGTTAGCAGCTACGAGCAATTGGCCTAGATTGTTTCAGCATTTACAGCCCAAGAAATCACCCTCCTGGGTCACGAAACACAACCGCTCGAGTTGAGCCGCCGTCGCCCCGCCACCAGCACGGGGTGGACACGCGTGGCCGTGCAAGTCGACGCTGCAAAAATAAAAGCGTCCCCCCCTAAAAAGGCCGCCTTGCCGACCTCGTGGCACGCTGAGCAGCCCAGGCGTGCAGGGATGCAGCTCACGGGACGCGGGGGGATGCTGGAGCCTCGCAGGGCGCAGACAGAGCCCTGGCTGCCGAGGGGGCTCCGAGGAGCTCACGGGGGTTGACCTGCTCCCTCCTTGGTCCCCTAAAAAGACACATTTTTGGAGAAATAGCAGGAGAGGAGCCTCAGGCCACCACTGATTTCCCCTCCCCTTCTGCCCCCAGTTCCCTTCCCAGGGGTGTCCCCCCATCTCCTACCACACAGCCCGGGGCAGATGCTTCCCCAAAATAGCTAGCTCATCTTCCCAGGCCCCCTGCCTCATTCCCTGGGGCTTGGGCCCACGAGCAGCAGAGGGAAAACACCCCGTGCAGAGAGTGAAAGCACTCACAGGTTCCACCTGCTTGCTGACTCATTAACAAATCAATATTAAGAGGCAGCAGCTCCTAAACCCCCAAGGAGACCCTCCCTCCTTTGCTCTTTTGAGCTTCCCTGGCCCCAAGCTCATTATCTAATTAACCAGAAAGGAGAAAGGGGGTAATGCAGAGGGAATGGAAGCCCAGGTGTGGTCTCAGTTACTGGGGTGAGCCCCTCCTGCAGACAGTCGTGTTCCTATTCCCTGGCTACGTGCTGCGAGCTAGCACTTCATGGAAAGGTGCGTGCGCTCGTGGTGGGGCTCTCCGGCCAGCTGAACAAGTGCAAATTTTTTGCTTTCATAGTCTAACAGGAAGCAAACCCCGACTCTTTCTCCCCCTCGTTTTGCTTACGAAGCTGAACGTGCTTCTCCGCAGCCTGAGAATGGCTACGCCGTGCACGACTAAAAGCCGTCTAAGGAAGTGGCAGCGTCCGGCTTTAAACCATCGCAGCACACCTCGTGGCGTTTTGCAGGAATAACGTGACCGCCCCTTCACAGATGAGGAAGGTGCAAGGCAGAAAGCAGCCTAATGAAGAGGATCTCTCCTGGCTGCCTCCTTAAAAGTGATGCTCCAAGCACCGTGGTGTCTCCGGCACAGATGCTGCAGGAGAGCCCTGCCTCCAAATCCAGCCCGCAGAGAGCGAGGGAGCCGGCCCGCTGCAACCTCTTGAAAGCTCAAGCAAGCTCAGCTCAGTTCTAGGCTGGAACAAGACGACTCAATTCAGTTTGAGGTATTGAAATACACGGATTCAAGCCAACCCGATACAAGGAAAGGCTCTGTTTAAATCATCTTTGCGGAAGCAGTGTTTTTAGCAAGAACGTATTGCTGGCTCACAAACCTGAGGTCCCTTACCCTTGAGGTTCCTTCCAACCTGGTATTCTGTGAGTCTATAATTCTATGAAATTGCTTTTTTTTAATCCACAATATTCTTGATGGAAAGTTCTCACACAACTTCCTAGTCAGACCTAAAGCTCATGAAGATATATTTCCACTGTAAGTCAAAGCCAGCACTACCGGGGAGGAGATGGCAGTTCATGTCCTGTATGTCGTGTCTAAACACTCTGAAACAGCCAGGAGTTCTATTACAGGCTTTGACCTAGGTAGGGAGGGAATAAGCAAAGTGGTTACAGCTAAAAGGTTACATTTAATGAAAATATTTTAGTAAGAATTAGGGGTAAATAAAAATACAGACTGTAGGAAAATAATAATATTTAGAAGAGGTGCTTTGAATGTTTTCTAAGAGAAATACACTGTTGCTCTGAAATTTACTGGTTGCTCTGCGATGAACTGGGACACAAATGAAACCTTCAGCTCCCCATAGTGATGGGGCTTTCAGCTCAGCCACGTAGTTAACGAGCTTGAAATCACAGTTGTAATTATTTAAGCTTTTTCTACCGTGGCTGTGACCAAAAAAAAAAAAAAAAAATTGCTGCTAAATGGTTCTGTCACCATAGCATCTCTTTGAATGCAGTCCCTCACCAGGTTATCTTGGTTTCTCCATCCCTGTCAGCTTTTCGGTCTCTCTGATGGCATTCACCTCCAGAGGCAGGCAGGACAGCAGCCCAGAGACCCGACCGTCTCCACCGCTATTGCTTTCAAATCCGCTAATTCGTTTATAATAGCACTTGAGCAACAGCTACAGGAAAATGATTGAAAGCCAGAGTAATAGAGGGCTCGCTGCTCCCTGATAAGTTAATGCAGAAAGCACAATACTTTCCACGAATGTAATTGAAAAGCTGTCTGTAGCAGAGCCAGTTAACCCCCCCCCCCCCCCCATTTTCTAGAGACAGGCTGTAAGACCTAAAGATCCCCGTGAAACCTTCCTGAAATTTTCGCAGCGGTGCACATCACCCATCCAGACAGCTGACCGCAAGGAAGAGAGCGTTAGTGAAAGGAAGAGCGTTCAAAGACTTTACCAGCCACGTCTTGCTGAGGATAAATTGTGGGATTTCAGTCGCAAGAAGCCTTAGAACAGGAAACAGTTTGCTGGTGAAATGAAAGCTTTACGAGAAAAACAGGAAGCCTGAAGAACCTGAGCGAAGCTGCCGGTTTGAGGTCGGGGCAGGAAATCCCTTGTGCAGATGCTGCCGAGATCAGGTGCTGCTGAGAGCGAGCGGAGCATCGGAGCAGCTGGAGATGAAGTGGGTTTTGACTGAAAGCAAAGCAAGGTAAAATTGCCCTCCATTTCCTCTTTGTTTTGCTAAAGAGAGTTGAAGTGCCGGGCAGAGAACAACTGCGGTTCAACCTCCAGTCAGATGCTGTCTCCCTCATCCTTCTCCTTTAACAAGAGATGCAGGAGTTGGACAGGATGCTAATGGCACAGTGCTTGCCCTCGTTAAGCAAGATGCATGATCACGGTGTATAATTTAGCTTTAAGCATAAAGGAAGCCTCATGCTGTTTCCTCGTAACACCTTGGGATACGCTTTTGCATTAACCAAAAGCCGGGTCCCGTTGAAGCCAGAGGACTGCAGGCATTTGGGGACAGGCGTTGGTGCGAGTGCTATCCTGCAAATAACTGAGGTCTGTGCTGGAGCCAAAAGCAATAAAGCAGAGGGGAGCCAGAGCCAGGAGCTAGGAATGAGGATTTGGAGAAGCAGTGTCAAGGCCTGGCAGCAGGGCAGTGGCTGTGAACGGTGCCTTAAGGATGGACGACTCCCATGGTGGAAGGGCTGGTCCTTCCATCCATCCTTTGCGGTGCTCAGCCTGGGAGGAAGCCTGATTTATTCTTTCGGTGGAAATATGTCAGGGGAAATGAGAGCTCTATGTTTGCCTAGTCTCTGAAGTCTCATGGCCATAACCCGAGGAGGGAATGCCCTGGTCCCAGCTCACCTGGGCTTCAGCCTTGGCCCCAGGAACCGTGCCAGTGCAGAAATGTCAGTCTTGAATGTACCTGGGGCTTGAACCACTGACACTTTTGAGGGTAACAAAGGCAACCTAGCTTTCGGCCGGTGCCAAGAACTGCCTGGGAACCAAGTGCCTGGAGCTGAACTGCCCAGGGTGACCTTAGCCAGGAGGAAGGCAGACAGACCCATCTCTGGTGCAGCCTGCGTATCGTCTTCACAGTTAGCTTCAGAATCAGGTTTTTGCCTCCCCCGAGCAACCCAAATCATCCACTGAGAAGCTCTATCCCAGGCCCCGGCACCAGCTTACGTGTTTTGATGTCATTAACACATACCTGTGCCATACTTCTCTGCCTCAGCACGAATCTAAACGGGCAGAACAAGGGCTTAAAAAGCAAGAGTCACTGGGAAGTGGCAATGGTTTCATTGAACTGTTCATTTGCCAGGTGTGGGCGAGGACAGGGGACGCTGCGGGTCACAGCCTGCTGTGAACTGTGGTCATTTCTCCTTCTCCAGCACGTTACAGTGGGACCACGACTGAACACGGGTTAGGGCAGTGAGGTTGCGTAGGTTCCAAATTGACACCCCGGTGTCACGTCAGGGTGCCAGGTAAAGCCGCCTCTACGTGCCTGCTGTGTTTGGCGCCTTGGAACAACAACTTATTTAATTTGTGAGCTTCAAGGACATTACGTGCACTCTGGAGGGTAAATTCGATGGGGCAAGCGTTATGGAAGAGACAAAAATACGATCGCACCTCACGGCAGGACTGCATTAACACAGTATCATTTACTGCAGGACAGTAAAGATGCTATGCCAGGCCTTCCACTCCTGACTTCGTATTATTTCCATAAACTCAGACTTCTTAACCTCTTCTTGCTCGCAGAGAGGGGTTTTTTTCTCTTCCAACTGGCTGCACACACCTTCATTATCATTCCTGGGCGTTACAGGAGCACAAGGGGGGAAATGCCTCCCTTGCATGACCACATTTGAGGAGAATAATTCGTCCAGATGCCAGCCTGGCACACAACCCACTGGGAGCAGCCAGGGGTTTTTAAGACCATCCTGCCTGGCTAAAATTAAAAATCTGGAATAAAACAGGAAAGAAGGAGTTACTGTAGGATTTCTGGCTTTACTTGGGCAGTCCCGGGAGCTCGCAGAAAGCTGCTCTGTAGCACTGCAGTCTCAGGCATTGGCGCCCGGACAGATCATTCCCCTGGATTATTTCCCTCGAGTCTCACGGCTGCTGTAGACACTGAGGAATCAAAGTTTTTATTTTAAGCAGACGGTACCTCTAGTCTTCTGAAGGCTGGGGAAGAAAAAAAACCCAACAAGCCTTGAAAAAAAACCAGCCGTTGCTGGCACGCGTTTCCCTGCCCGCATCTGCAAGCAGGATGAAGCAGCTGTAAGAGTGATGCAAACAACCAATTAATCTCAATTGCTGCAAACTCATAATCCTAATGAATTACTTTTAAAAATACAGGGGTACTTTTAACAGTTTTCATGCAAAGAGAAATTAGGAAATTGCATGTACAAATAAGCTAATAAAGAAAAGGGAAATGCGAGTGTGGAAATACAGTGTGCCTTGCATTAATTTTTCCACCCAATTCCAAATGCAGTAATAACTTGATTATTTTAACATTCAGGCTGGAGGAATCAAAACCATACACAATTTGGAGTGTCTGATTGCTGTTCCCTGACTGAGATTAGCAATCTGCAGTAGTTTGCTTTCCTCTTCCTTCCCAAAACAGGGAACAGAAAGCTGGTTTTGCCGCAGGGCACAGCAGAGAATTTAAGCTATTTAATTTTCTGCTGCGGGGACTTGTAGTCATCATTTGATGTCGAATCCTATTTTTGGTGCTTAAACAGCCTGCATTCCCAGAATACCTAACCACTTCAGTGCTCAGTGGATGGCTCCTGCCATTGCCCCTGAAACAGAGGTGGCAACCAGGACTTCTCAGGAAGGACTTGCACTGGACCATTAAATGGACAGATATGCATGGACAGTGCAGCTCCAAAAAATAAACAGAGAGTCCCAATCCTTCTCCTTGCTCCTGCTGTGGATTTTCTTCAGCCTCCTTGCTGCATATGAAGTAAAAAAATCCCTTTTTCCTCGCACCAGCAGCAGAGTGGGATATGCCCCCTAGACACACAGCTGCTGCCCTGTACCAGGAGGGGTGGCTGGAGCCCAGTTACACCACAGAAGAATGGGGAATGGCTTATTACCGGCAAACTGGGGGTTTTCTCAGTGTGCCAAGACTGGGGTAACAGGGATAGCTTAGAGCAAGGCAAATGTGAGAAAGAAGAAGGAGTTGCCTTGTCCTTGTCCTTATTATTTAATGTCTAGAGGCAGTTGCGACTGGTGTCGAAGGGCAAGCGGCAGTGCTGGTGCACACTGGACACTCTTTTCTGCCCTCTCCTTTTCCCAGAAAACTTTTCCAACGGGAAAGCTCCTTGTCTGTGCTCAGCACCACCGTCCTGCTCCCGCCTCAGCCCCTTTGCCTCAGCTCAGCAAAGCAGATGGAGCCCGGCGGTTACGTAATGATTTGTCAAAAGCTTTGCAAACGTTAAGTGTCTAGACTTTTCGGTGTGGATTTTCTTTTTCAGCTTGTTCTCTGACCTCTTCAAGGAGCTTAGGATGGACTGGATTGGCATGGTTTACTTCTGGTTAAAGTCTCCTGGCCTCCTCTCGTCAAGCATTTCTCTTTGTCCTGTCCCATCAGCTGATGCCTGGAAAGTCCCTGCTCCCTGGGACCAAAATTATCCCGGCTGCAGCAGAGTATCTGCCCCACACCTTATTCTTATCAAGTCAGACAGCGGTGGGCTGAGCAACCCTCCGAAAGCACCTAAGAAAGGTGGCCCCGTGCTGCCACGTGCTCGGATGTGGCTTTCGTCAGGAGCAGCAGCTGCTTCCTGAAAACGAACAAGATGGGCACGAGGCCAAGGTCATCTCCCTCCTACCGATGCCTCACATCTTCTGGTCTGCTGTTGTTGCCACTTCTTAAGCTCCACGAGAGATGAGGCAATACGGTGCAGTGTTCTGGTCCAAAAATGAGTGTCATCTCCTCCTTCTCAGTTCTCTTAACGCTATGGGCACCGGTCATGGAGACATCATCACTTGCCCGAATTTACTGCTACAGCTTTGCCAGCCAGTTGTGTCCAGTCCTCCACAGAGTGATCCCATTTTTAGGCTGGTACCAGTGGTGTAAAGCTGGAGTAAGCCATGCAGCATATGTCGGGTGGCCAGTCACTGACAGGGTGGGTTACCTGGGCCAAGTATCGGCGCTGCTGGAGCTCGCCTTTCTGCCGAGCTCTGCCTGGGGATATGGGCCGGTGCCTTGGGATGCTGTCAGCACGGGCAGACTCTTGCCTTGACCTCCTGAGGGGACTTTCCAGAGCCCTTATGCAGCTTCCCAGCCAGTCTCACGTCCCCATCAGCTCTTCTGCTTCAGTTTCCCAAAGTTCTTCAGCACCAAGGCTTCTCTTTCTCACACACTTTGCCCTCACGCCTGCACCAGCATTGCCCGGCAGTTTGTGAAGCCAGTAGGAATATTAAGAATTTCACCCACCTCAGGGTCAAAACCCAGCTGCTTTGCCCCATCTTCCTCCTTCCCAGGGAAAGCAGTTGGAAGCCCAGTGTGCTAGAACATGATCTTTGATGTTATGATGAAAGATGAGAGCTGACTTACGATGTAGAGCAAAGAAGAGAGCTGAACAATTTACTTGATGACTTCCCCTTTCCTCCCTCTCCTCTCCCCAGGACCAGAGCATAAGCATTTCAAGAGATTCACATCCTTTATTTCTTCAGCAAGTCTTTTGCAGCTGCAGATGCTCAGCAGTGTAACGCTGCTCCTGTCTCCAATCCGCGCTCGAGAGCCTTGCGAATGTGCCCCGGGCCGTGGCTGGCTGAGCTCTGCAAGGTACCACACGCCAACGGTAAAGCACCAAAGACATTCTCCAAGCCTCTGCCAAAACACATGCGTGGGGTAGGAGGAATTAAAACTGCAGAGGCAGCTGCAGAGCTGGACTTTCTCAGCTTTGCAGTGCTCTGCTTTCTAAACTCGGTAGCCGCCTATAAATTTCTCTATAGATTTGGAAGAGAGAGGGAGAGGATGGGAGGAACAAATGAGCTAAAGGCTTCCCTGCAAGACTACGATGGTTGAGCACCCCTGGCTCCTGTCGCTTAGCCAGGAGGGACCTGCCCTGCTACACACGAGGGTGAACTTTGAATGTCAACATGCCCCAGACCTCCCAGGAAAATTTGGACAAGAATTTTCATTGCTGCCTTGTGCCGTGAAGCTGCAAGCTGCCGGGGATGGTGCAGGCATGTGTGTGTGTGTGTATAGTTTTTAGGTCTATGGACCAGACCTAGCACACAGCAATCTCCATGGCCTGAGATGAGCTGTTTGTCCCCTGCCCGCTGGCCTTCGCTCCTGACCTGCCAGACCACGATGACTTCGGTGACTACCTCGTACAGACAGGCATACGTGTGTCTATCCATCTTCTCCACAAGACGTTGTTATTTAAACATAAAATAGTACGATTAATAAAACATAAGGCCTTGTTTTTCCCCACTGTTTTCACCTCCCGTGCTCTCTTCTCACATTTTTGCTGGGCTGATGGTTTTCTTACATGCCCTAGATAACTCATTGAGCTCCATCTTCACTGCTCTTTCCACCCGCCTGCTCTTCTTTCATTTTTTATGAAGACTCTTTCTTGCTCTGCTAGCATGCTCTTAATCTCACTGGTAAATCACGGTGGCTGTTTGTCTTTAGCTCTCTATTTGCTTTCCTGAACACGAAGATAAATCCAGGCGGTGTGCTGGAGCTGGATCAACAAGAAAGCGGATTTCTTCCCTCTTCCCTCCCCATTCACAGTTGTACACAGCTGGCGGTAAGCTGCGTTTGGGATCTAAGAATGGCTCTCCATCTTCTGGGGCAAAACTGGTAAAACAAATAGAAAGACTGAGACATGACCTCTCCCAGGCTCTTGTGGGTGAAACCACACTGCAGAAAGCTCTGAGATACAACGTGACTCCAAGAGCCCCAAGTGGGGTCAGTGCAAAGACTCCCATTAACTTCATCTGACGTTCTCAGGTTTACAAACTCGGTAATCATTCCAGATTTTTCTGCTGATATCTCCAGCCACTGGAGTAGGACCAGGGTTGTGTAGAGGCCCACACTCGTGGTGGCTTCCTTGCAGACTGCAACACGCTGTGGAGGAACAGCCTGCAGCCTGCTAGAAATAGGAAATCAGGTCATGAACCAGCCTCCCACTCAGTCCAGCATCAGAAGAGACGAGGGATGAGGCATGGCCGTGTCTCCCTCTTATTCTATCTGTGCTCCCTGGGATGATGGCTGCAGTGTCCGAGTGGGATGTGGGTGTCCAGACCCAGAAAAGGGGGGGTCTCTGCACAGCCAGCTGCTCTGCCCAGGGCTGGCCCTGCAAACACGCCATGTGCCTGGCGCAGCTTCGCCCTGTCGTCTTTCCCACGGAGGAATTACATGTGAGGTTAAAGGAAAAAAAAACAAACAAACAACAACAAAAAAAAAACCAAACAACCACCAAACCAGCATTTTTATCTGGGTTCAGAGCAATTTCATATGTCTGGAAAGGATATAGAAGCATAATCAAGATTTATGAAAGAAAGAAAATATTTTAGGAGAGGCCATTTGTTCTGTTCTATATCCCATAAAAATCTCCAGAAGTTATTTATCGGTCGATGTGGCAGCGACACTCAGCAATGCAGCTTGGGAGCAAAAGGCCACTCTGCAAACGAAGAGGCAAAGCGTTAAAAGACACAAGGCAACATCTTTTTAGGCCGTGTATAATTGCCCCGGGGAACTCGCTGCCTCAGGATTCAAGCTAAGCAAATGGCAGTTTATGAAAACTGATCTGAGTGTAACTAAAGATAACCCAGGAGAGCTGGAGTGGGTGGCCGTGATCCAGGCACAGGCAGCCTCTGCTCTGGAAGATCACATCAGTGTACACACTGGTCCAGCACAGGCAATTAGAGTGCCAGGGGGGTAGTACAGCACCTGGGGTTTGCTGCCGATGGAGAAGATAAATCAGGCCAAGCAAGGCACTGGTGTGCTATGGGGGAGAGTGGGGATGTATTTTGCCCTGTGTCCTTTAATGACAAATTCCTGCAGGATGATTTAGGCTTCCTCCAGGTTTCTTGCTTTGCAGCCAGAAAGGAAAGACGCGCAGGGATGGGGGGAAGCGGCAGAATTTGGGATTCCCCCATCCTGGCAGCATGTGGCTGATCCCTTCCTCTGCCTGGAGGATTGGCCCTGGCCCCATCCCAGATACTCAGGGGGCTCTCTCACCCCCCAGAATAGTCCCTGGGGGCTCTGATCTGGTCTCTGGCTCCATTTACCATCTCAACGAGGGCCGAGGCAGCGGAAGGATGAGGGACTCAGCTGGCGCAGCGTGTGGGACTTATTTTTGCTGCGTGATTCACCGACCAGCCCCATTTGGCATCTCCACCACTATCCCTTCCCTCTGTGGACAAGGTCCTGACGCTGAAGGGACCCTCACCGTTCGGCATGAGCCGGCCTTGGTGAGTTCTTGGGTGGAC